TGTGTTATTAAAAGAAAAAAACAGATAAGATACATATACTGTATGTTTAATTAATATTGAAAAATATAAATCAGTTACAACATCTCAACTAAAAGCGGTCAGACTGAAAAAAAGGGGGTTTTGGATACTTGTGTATGAATGAACAGATGAGCAACAGCACTGTCACATCAACACCACAGCAATGATGCTGCCAGTAAAACATCTACATTTGGAGTGATGGTATAATGCCAAATACTTAAACAAAAGTGCAAGATAAGTCTGACTACATAACAACAATTAAATGTGATTTTTTGAATCATACTTTTGTAGCACTTTATAGACATGAATAAATACTGTATTACAGGGTTTGATGCCCCTAAACAGGAAATTCAGAAACATCAGACTGGTAGCTCAGGGGTGGCAGTAGCTCAGTCTGGAAGGATTTGGGCTGATGATTAGAGGGTCCCTTATTTAAGTCCTGGACAGACCATGTCTGGGCTTTGGCATGGTAGCTGGGCAAGGTGCTTTCTGAGCAAGGTGCTGATCCCCCCAATAGCTTACGGCAGCTCTCCAACAGCAAGGCCATCACTCTGACATCTCTCCCTCCATTAGCACATATCCATGGGGATCCTGTTAATGCATGTGTATCTGCATTAATCCAGCCTCTCTCTGTGTGTGTAGCATATATACCAAGAGAGTGTAAACTGTGAATTTCCTTTCGGGGATTAATAAAGTGACTTAACCTTATAACCACAAATGTGACTGTCCAACCAGTTATGTGTCATCCAAAACCCAAATAAGGTTACTTCATTAAAAGCATGCAGTGTATTACAGTAGGATAAAGTGCATTCAGATTTGTGGACAGCTGTGATTTGGGTCATTTATATCTGTCACAGTATTACAGTATTGTTAACAATTTTGAGTGTAACTCAAGGCCAAAAGCTACTTTTTTTTAATTTAAATTTTTTAGAGACTCTGCATCGAGCAGTTCAAACATATTTAAATCACGACAAAGACATCAACATGCTCACACATAATGCCGCACAACAGTTGACACTGCTAACAAATTTGATTTATAAATAAGACAATTCTCATTTATCTTAAACTGATTGACAGATCTGCCTAATCTGACGTGTCTGGATGACGATGCAGACTACCTTTACTCTGTTTTGGTATAGGGATGCGCCGATCCAATATTTGGATTGGATATCAGCTCAAATATTGACAAATTAACTGGATTTGATATCTGATGAATGACGCCAAGCCAGCATTCCGATCCAGTCTTTATTTTCTTTTAATTAATTTTTCTTTTAATACATGGAAGTCTTACTTTTTTTCCTGTGTGCTAATGTGCAATTTGTTATCTGTTAAAAAATAATGTTAAGTAGTAGTATTGGATCGGTATTGGATATAGGCTGATACACTAAGCCCAGGTATTGGTATCGAATTGGATCGGGAAAAAATGGATTGTGCATCTCTACTTAGGTACCAAGTTTTTTATTAAGGAGGAAATATCCCTTTAGTCCTTAATGGTCTGTTACATGAAGCCTCAGATTATCAGGAGACTCCTAAACTGCAGTCCATACCTCATGTGAAACCCGTAGGAGGACCCAGGAATAGGTGTTATATGTAGACCTGAGACAGTGATGAATTATGTGCCATACAGGACCTGACTTCAGCCCACAGTAAAACCTTGAAGCGTGAATTCTTCGACTGCTTGGCTGACCTAATGTTCACTGCAGAGATGCTCCTCAAAGTTTTTGTCTGACAGAAACTCGCGGAGTCACATAAAGACAGACAACGAGACAAACAGAGATGCAAACAAAGAAAAGAGTCTTTGTGCTCTGAAACATCTGCAGACCGAGAGGAGAGCCAGAGATGACCTCAGACTGAGGCCTCCTGTCAGACAGATAAAACCTGAAAGAGCCTGAAGGATGTCTGAGGACCAGAGTCTGGATAAATCACATGTAGAAACCGCCCTGACTTCACCCTTCAGCTGCTTGACAGAATACGTGACACCCTTAGTTCAGTATTTGGTCGCCTACGGAGAGGAGCGGGGCGAGGGCTGACGTTACAATGTCAAAGCCAAACATCAGAGTTTAATTCATCAGCTGTGTCGTCTTGTTTGGCACAGAATAAGTCCAGGGGTAATCCAAGCTTTTTTGCTCATCAAATGCAGCAGGAAAGCATTTCTGCATCAATTTGAAAAATTAGGGAAAAAAGGTAAAACTGTGACTCCTGCACTGGAAGAACAGCAAAGTGAGTCTTTGAGAAAACGAGACATGTTCACTGATGCAGTGACGTTATGATGTGGTTCTCTTGCAGCCCTTGCCAGTGGAAAAGCAAATTGGTTCAGGATTCAGCTCTGAACTAGAACCATGGCTAAACTGGTGGAGAAGAGGTACGAGTTATTGGTGCGACTGTGGAACTGTTTTTTTCAAGAGCCACTTCTTTGGCAGAGGAAACACAGAGAACTGGTTTCATACAAGTCCCAGAACCAACTTGTAGGACAAAGGCTCTTTAGGGTAGATTCACATCAGTTTTAGGAAGCAGACCCTTGTGGACACACGACAAACTGCAGTTTTTTGCAAATCTGCATTGGTTTGGTTCAATGCCAGGGACTGCTGCATGTTTGAGCCCCAAGCAGGGGCTCTATCTGGACTTTTTCTCTGCAGATTTAAGGTAAAATGTCTGCAGGAGGGTAGAAGTTAAAACACAAATGATAGTCTGAAACATACACAGTGACTGTGTGGTGTCAGTGTTTTTCATTAGGGTTATGTTTGTATAATGGAAACATCCCTGTACATTTAAACACAGAAACAGTCCAAATTACTGCAAACCCTAAGTTTTGAGAGTCAGTCTGGCTTAGAAAATCTCCTTTTGTGTGTTTGATAAAGTTCCTAAAAAAATCAATGTTTTTAAATGATGGAGGAAGGGTTCAGAGTTTATGTGTGATGGAAGTAACAGTGTTTGTTTGAACGGAGCGTGTGCCCTGAACGTCAACACCTGACTTTATCATTATCCCTCTGTTGCTGCTGCTGTTTGGCCCATAGCCTGGAGGGCACACACACACACACACACATGCAGGATGATTAGTGAGCGTGTGTGTTTACCCACAGCCTCCTATTAAGAGGAATTACCGTGCACCTTATCCAGGTGTTGGCAGCAGTATTTTATGGAAGGGCAGATCTGGAATGTCCCTCCACACACAAGCTTATAATCAGCATTATTATCACTCCACAGCACACACACATACACATACACACTTACATACAGACACAAATACACACACACATACACACACACCCTTACGAAGGGCAGGAACGTGCCTATATACGCATTAAATTGAGAGAGAGTCGATACTTCAGTAAACACTCAGGACATCAGCAGATCAGATGAAAAGAGAGCATCCTAGAGTTACATTTTGCAAAACTCTATTATGTTAAAGAAGAAATCAGTTTTTCAAGACTGTAGACCGCTTTGACAGTGTGGAGTGAACGACAAAGGGACTGGAGGAATTTGAAGCATGTAAAGTATGTTGGCTGACAAAGACAAAAACACAAACATTAACTAAAGAAAAAAAGGGAGTTTGCATGTTCTCCTGGTGCATCCGAGGTCCCACAGTCCAGGGACATGATTTCTAGCTCCATTAGTCACTCCAGATGCTCAAAGCTGTCTATGATAAGTCCTGGTTCACCTGGTGACTGGTCCAGGAGGTGCCCTGTTCCCCACCCAATCACAGCTGGGATAGTCTGCTTGGGACCCAAAATGGGATAAATGATATTTAGTCTGTTTGTATGCAGGAGTGAGCTATGGGTATTTGTTACATAACAAAAAAACAAATGAAAAACTCTCTTACAAGACAGTTGTCCGACAAGAACTCACGTCTAATTGCATCTTTACATTGACTTTGAATGTAATTCACTCACACCACTGATTTTATTCCTGTTCGGTATGAGCCCAACATGTCAGCTTGGAACCTTCAGTCTTACAAAACAAAAGCTGTATGTTCTTTTACATCCCTTCTTCTTCTTCTGCCTGTTGTTTACTTCCCCACTTTCTTCAATAGTTTTATGCTGTCCTGTGGAGCTGTGGATCCTGCACAGACCACTTAGGCCAGTTTGGGTCTAATTTGAGATGTATGCATGCAGGAGGAAATAGACCCCATCTGCATCATCTGCATATAGGAGTCCCACTGCGAGATGTTTAATTTAAAGGAATTTCAGCCATACTGACATGTTTAAACAGATTAGAAAAATGCCAGTTTAAGTCAGGCTTATATGATAATTCAATTTTATAAAATTGTTAACATACTGATTGATAATAGATATGAAACCCAAGAAAACACACATAAACGAGAGAAAATGCAATCCAGACCTCACATCTGGTCCTCAACTGCTGCATTTATTTAAAACTCCTCCATATGCTTCTTAGTTTCCACCAAAAAACATGTAAAAATCTCAAATCTAAATTCACAGCCTGTATTAAAGTGTCAAAATTTGGCCTTAAGATCAGTCTTCGCTAACATGTCAACTGTGAGCCACTAAATATCAGCTTTATTTTTCCATTTGCCACTGTTAATGCCTTTTTTTTATAACCCAAAAAAGACTATGTGAAGGGGAAGAATTAGCAGCAAGTATCCTCTGTGTGTTTGAACCACCTCTAAAGTCTGCAGATGTCGAGTTCTATACCTCTAACTCAACGGTTAGATTAACGTAAAACTTAAAGTAAATGATGAACTTTAGACCATCATCATTAGAAGCTGTTTAAACAACTGCAAAGAAGAAAAGAAAGTGTGTTGTTTGGTTTTCCTTTGATTTTGGCCCCTTTCTTTCACAGGTAAAGCAAAAATACGTTGTTCTTTTTCTTGTCATTCTGAGCTGAAGTCATCTCATGTTTCCAAAACTAAACCTCTTCATTCACATTTCTCTTTCTTCTTTTTCATCCTCTCAGTTTGATCCAGGTCCAGTCCGGTCCCGCTGTGACAGACCCGTCTGTAGATCAGTATCATCAGGATAAGGATGAGACGACTCAGAGCTCTGAGTGGGTTCATTCTGCTCGCCCTCGCTGTCCTCGCCAACGCCAGGCCGAAAGCAGGTCAGTTACTGGCACTGTTAAGAAGGAAAAACACAAGAAGTATGGCCTTTGAAATTTGAGACACCTGGCTTTTTTCCTGGACGGATGTTTTTTGCTCAAAATATTTCTTTTATTTTGAAAAATTCCCTGAGAAACTGAAGCAAACAAAAAAAAGAAGGACAATCTTTTTTATATATAATAATTTTTTTTTTTCAAACACGGGGGACTTTTTCCACCTGCTGAAGTACATATTTTTGCCTACACAAGAAGCTATGCTTGTTAGTTTTATTCTGCTAATGGAGATGTTGCACACTGCAGAGGCTACGGTGGCTGCGATGTGCATTTGCATAGATAGGTGTTGCAGTTGGAAGAAAGGGAAGAGAAGTTATCTTCAGGATTGAGCTCACTTGTGCATACACGCACTAGCAGTAACAGAGCATAAATTCATACATCACAAATATTTTCTGTGACGCTGTTTGTGTCTGACTGTGAGTTTATAGCTCAGCATATTTGTAAATGAACTGACCATTTACTGAGTCCCATAAAAAAATATCATCTATAGTGACATAGTTGAATATATCGCTGGCCATTGGTGGTATTATGTAACTCAGGCAGAGCTTAAAGATAAAATCACTTATGGGGGAAGCATTTTTTTTCTTAAGTTAGACTATGGGGGTCCCATGGACAGAGTAGCTTAATCATAAAGACATTAAAGGCAAACAGTGTAAAACAGCCACATGTGATCCTCTCGTTCCAATATGAAATGGCCCTGTTGTGTACCAGGGGTTGAACACCATTCACCTCCCGCAAACCCTCATCTCCACCACTGCTGATTACTTAAACACAGTAGTCGGAAGATAAAATTAAGGTCATACTGTGATCCAGCATGATAAGGACTAACTGTAATAACAAAAAACATGTTTGAAAGGATTGATTTCATAGTCTGGCACATGGCACATCTGTTAAAATGAAGAACGGGGAGTTATGACTTGTTCTGCAGCCAGCCAGTAGGGGGAGCTCTAGATGTTTTGGCTCCACCTTCAGGGGATGATATTCCATCCTGTATTTAATACAGTCTGTGAACCTGACCTCTCCATACCATCGTACATATTACACTTCAAATGATAAACAGCTTTGTAAAAATCTGAACTCTCTCTGGTGTTTGTGATATATGATATCTGTTTATTAGAATATGTTTTACATTGAATCAGCAGCTGAAGGTTGAGTTATGTTTCCAGACAGTGAAGCAGACGTATTTATGAGTCGTTACAAAAACAGTCATTGCTCATGTCTGTTTGAAACTAAAGATGGATTCCACTAAACTCCCACAGGCCTACTTCTGCTGACACTCGGCTTCCACTACAGCGACTTTCAATTTGCGTCCAGCCTCTGCGAAGGAAATCTGGATGTTCATTAATCAAACAATTCATGTCTGACTGTCCAAACCACACAGCAAACACAGACTCACTCATAGCTCTGTGTGTTTGAACTGAGATGATGTTTCAGCATTGGAGAGAGTTCACTATGATGCTGAACAGTTAAAGAGAAAAACAGGAGCTGAAGTTGTGAAGGAGTGAGAGCAGGTGGTAAATAATGTGAAAGTGAAACCAGAGAGGGAGAGAGAGAGAGAGAGAGAGTGACTGCTGCTGCTGCTTCAATCAGAGGGGGAAACACAGACGTCTGCACAAGAGGAACAGAAAAATGTGAACGTATCACTGAAGTCCCTCCAAAGAAACAATGCACGTATAAAGAAACACCTAACTACTCCTTCTTGTTGAAAGATACAGGCATCTTGTAATCAAACACTTCATAAAACATTTTACAATCCAAACATATTTCTTTCCACTTACATAAAATCATTTTACTTAGAAAAAGGCTCTGGTATTTTTGGAGGCCTCACATTGGAAAACCCAAAATATAACAAAAGGCTGGGGCATTATGTAAAATGTTGATATAAACAGAATTTGAAAATCATTTAAAGCCCACGTTAAATTACACATATATTTCTAAGTTTAGAGTATCAAATATTAAAACTGGAAAATTGTATTTGTTTCCTGAAAAATATGTTTCCATTTCAAATTTGATGCCAACAACCTGTTTCAAAACAATTACAATTACGTTTTACAGGACTGAAACAGTTGAAAATAATGTTTTAATTACAGATTATAGGATTACCAGGATGTTAGATTGAACGAGTTTCCCATAGAAATGTGCTCATCTGAGTGTTTGGTCAGAGTGTAATAAAAACCTCTGAAGAGACAAAGGCTGATGTATCTTTGTATCATTAGAGATCATCAACCAATCAGAGGGCTGTGTTTGTAAAATGTGTCCCTTCTCAGCTGACTTTACCCTCTGAAACTCAATCTGTTCATTTCTCTCCTTTCCCAGGTCAAGAACAGAAATGTAAGTCTGGTCCGGTGGATCTGGTCTTCCTTATCGACAGCTCTCGCAGCGTCAGACCACATGAGTTTGAGACCATGAGGAAGTTCATGATCGACATCCTGGACACCCTGGACATTGGACTCAACGCCACCAGAGTTGGCGTGGTCCAGTACTCCAGCCAGGTACTTTAGGAGCACAGCATCCAGATCTTTACCCATGTTTTATTCCAGTTTGAGTTTGAATCCACACTTTATCAATTCAAATATTGTAAAATATGTGTCTTCTGTTGTCCTCAGGTCCGTAGTGAGTTTTCTCTGAAGACTCACGCCACTCTTGCTTCCATGGTCAAAGGAATCAATCAGATCATCCCACTGGCTCAGGGCACCATGACCGGGCTCGCCATCAAATATGTGATGAACTCAGCTTTTACTGTTGAGGAGGGAGACCGGCCAAAGGTAACAGAGATCTAAATACCTGCTGAAACCTGAGTTTTTTCTTGTTTTAAAAAAGCTTTGAGAGGGTAATTTTCTCACTTTCACTCTTCGTATTTGACTACATTCTCACTTACTGCAAACTAATCTGTATACATTTTAACCATGTACGCAACAGAGACAAACTATGGTACTTGTAATTTGACGCCCCATTGTCATGATATTGAAAATGATCAAATTTAGTATCAGAACACAAAAAAGCAACGGTTAAAAAGTGTAAAATAGATGAGTTTAACGAAAATCTACTACTTAGATGATTACAAAAAAAGCCATCGAGAAAGATTAGTACACAGGAAATAAAACAGGTTTTAGCACTCTGCCTACCCTTCAAGACTTTTAGACATGTTTCATCAATTAAAGTATCTGTTTGTTTACATAGAAATAATTTTAATAATATTAATATTGCACCCATAAAAACAAAAGTTTACAAAGTGCTTTGATGATGCATCATGCATGGAGCTTTTCATCCTCATGAGCCTGACGGGAGGAAGGAGCAGGGAGCATTCTTATCTGGAAACACTAAATATCCCCATATCAACATGCTGTACCTTTTAAGTTTCATTTTCATAAATAGCAACATTACACCCTTGAAACAGAGGCTGCTGTATTGATGTTTCCTATACAGGTCTGTACCAAACAAGGACCTTTCATATAACAAATAAAAGCTTGATGAACATCAAAAAATCCCAAAAGAAGATTAATGAAAAAAAAAAAGAAAAACAGACTATGTTTAGACTTTGAAATAAACTGTTTTATTATTTTTGTTTCACTGATTGAATGTGTCAATAGGGAAAAAAATACCCATGTGTATCATGATTTTGTCATCTCTCGGCAGACTGTATACAGAGTTTTAATACTTGGATGGTTTATAAAATCTTTGATAATGAACATTATAAAATTCAATCCTATGAAATTCTGAAAGGTTCAATCATGACATGAGGTCAAAACAACATTTTCAGGAAAAGTTTTAATACCACTCTTTTGGTAATGAAAAATATTTGCGGATGTGATTAGAAACTTTACTTAATGTGATTCCCCACGTTTGAAATACAATTCCCCAAACTTCTATTCTCCACCCCTGGATCCCAAAGCTGTTAGCTGCAGTCTCCTCTTCTTTCCTCTTTCCTTCATCCTTGGTGGTGCTAGAAGTTCTGTTTGTCCTTCTCTATCTTGGCTAGATCAAGGCTGCTGTCCTGTGTGTTTCATGTCAGACTGATCATTAATACCTGCAGAGTTTGAACAGAGTTGAATGATTTAGATTTTCCCTGAAGGTTCAAATTTCTTAGATAATTTTCAGAGTTCATGAGACATTTTGAAAGTATTTGTCAATGACATGTCAATTCATAATCACATGAACAATGAATATACTTGCAAATGATAAGTAAAAGAAAAAGAATATAATGCATTTTACCTGTGAGTGATCCATATGGGTGAAAGCAGGACACAGAATAAATTTAGAGCAGATCGTTTTTAATGTAAACATTTTTATAAACTTGAATTTGACACAAACAGGTTTATTTTATTAGAGTTATAACAGCACCTGTGTGACTGACTGCTAACTCTGACCTTTACTCTATCTCAGGTTCCTAATGTGGCCGTGATCGTGACTGACGGTCGTCCTCAGGACCGTGTGGCCGAGGTGGCTGCTGAGGCCAGAGAGAAGGGCATTGAGATCTACGCTGTGGGCGTGGCCAGAGCCGACATGACATCACTGAGGGCCATGGCGTCTCCACCGTTCGAGGACCACGTCTTCCTGGTGGAGTCCTTTGACCTCATTCATCAGTTTGGACTTCAGTTCCAGGACAAACTCTGTGGTAAGACAGTTGTGTAGAAAGAAACTGTCTTTGAAAACCTGAAAAACAATTTTTCTGTTTGTGTTTTTGATTTGCCAGAACTATTTCAATCAGAGCGGGATATATAAAAGTCAAATACTTTCCTGCTTGGGTGGCTGTTCAGAAAAACATGGCACCCACAACTGAAGTCAGCTAACAATTGGATTAACGTTTACTCTGACTGGGTTTGGATGAGTTTATAGTTCAGTTTTATTTCTTTTTTTAAGGCCTCAGTTTTTGACAGGACACAAAAGCAGAAAAAGGTCTTAAATTAAACACATTTCAGTGGAAATGAAAACTTAAATCTTTTTACCTCATCACAAACAGATTAAAAACAGTTTGTAAAATACTCTTCCAGTGTGAGAAATCATTCTTTATGGATCAGACTTCATATTTCTGTTAAATCCTTGTCTGAAACCTGTAAAAACGTTTGACGCCACAGATGGATTATTTTTATCTGAGGTCATTTCAGCACAGTGAGACTAAAATCCTGCAGACCTTTATGTGGACTTAAAACCTTAAAACTGTTCACTTTAGCCACAGGAAACACCAGAATCTTTTTATAAATAAAGAAATGTAACTTTAGCCATAATAAAAAATGATCAGCGTGCCCATCTAACCCTGAATGATATAATACTTTTCATAACAAACTCTTTAAACCTCTCAAGTGCAGATATTTCCTCCTGCTCCTGCTTCTAGAAAGTGAGCAGCTGTTATAAATAAAACCTGACTTTTCTGTGTGGAGGACAGAGGAGAAGAAAAAGACAGAAATACATTGTCTATAACTGGTGGATTAATGCATAATGAGGGTGTAAATATCCAAAAATAAAAATATGGACAAACCTTTTTTGATCCCACTTTTTAACATGTAACAGTTAAGGTGTATTATTAAATACACCTTGTGACTGAATCCCATCATGTATGTGAAAAACAGGGTTACTTTTATCACTTGGAAAGCAGCAGCTTTTGAGACACAAGGTTTATTCCCAGTGATGAGGATATGTAAATAAGTTGAAAATGTTTGTACAGTTGTAGCATGACTATCAATCAATCAATCAACTTTATTTCTATAGCACATTTTAAAATAACCACAAGGGTAGTCAAAGTGCTGTACAATGATACATAAAACAAATAACACAAAGAGCAAGATAAAGTGAGCAGAAATACATTAATGCAAGGGGATAAATAAGGACTAACAAGGAAACTTAAAACAAGAGAGATTCACAAACTAAAAAAAATATTATACACAGAACCTAAACAGAAAACACAAAATATATGGAGAGCTGGGCAATTGAACAGAAAGTTGCAGGATGATATTGGTGCAAAATGATGATGATGGAAAGGGAGTATAATAATCATAGGTATGTTTGAAGAAATAATCACCTGATAAATGTTTACCTGATATAAAAATGTGTATAAAGTCCTTTTTACATCAGAGTCGGTGCACTTTCAAGAAGGCTGCCATCTTTTACCTCCATGTTTCTATGGCAGGGGTGTTACACAAAAATATGAACCCTAATCAAAGGACGGCTCTATGGACTCCTACCTGCTTTGATGGCTATTCTGTCTTTGTTGACCCCTCAAGTATGAAGCGCTCATACACTCATTCCCTTTTCCCTCTAGTCTGGTGCCCCTGCTGGTAACATAGTTAATGTCTGCATATAAAGCACTGGTTTAAAGGTGAAATAGAAGAAGAAGGAAGAGAAGAAGAAGAGAGTGGTTGTTTTTGACAAATGGAGGATCACACTTATCATGTATCACAGGAGCATCTTGTCCTCCAAGGACAATGTAGCTTCACCAACAGAAGGGGTGAGCAAGGGAGCCTTTCAATCCAGAATCTGACCACTAAATATTTCTTTCTCCAGTTTTAAAAGTTCATTTTCCTGGATAACTTTATCATAACTTTAGAAATGAAGCTGCTGGAGAGAATTGTGGACTTGGCCTCAAAGCTAATCTGAGTCTCAGTCAAATTTAACTCTCCCAGTTGGCAAAGGTGGCCCCAAAAGTCTCAAAAGACGCTTTGCATTCTGCTAATCATCCGTTTAAATCTTTGCCCTCAGGAAAAAGGCTCAGAAGCCGCCATTCAAAGACAGCCAGATTTAGAAATAGACCTTTCCCATTAGCAAGTGGTATTTTAAGTGCAACCAGCAGAGAAAAAGCACCAAGACAGGAATCTGGAGTAGCAAAGATTGTTTTACTTTGGCTAAAAATGGAAATTTAGCCTCAGTCACAAGCTGGTGGAGATAAATAAATCCCTTTTATAGTTTCTTGTTGAGGAGATGATGTGTGTTATTTATTCTAAAGTGGATGTTACCTGTGCTGCAGGTGTGGATCTGTGTCTTGAGTCCGAACACGGCTGTGAGCAAATCTGTGAGAGCTCTCCAGGCTCCTTCCACTGCCTCTGTCTGCCTGGATACACCCTGAATGACGACGGGAAGACGTGTGCAGGTAACAAACATGAGAAAAACATGTATAATTTTTAATCTTTTATGACCATAGATATCAGCTATCAACACACACATTTTCTTAAACTGAATTTACACGTGTATTTGTGTAAATTTCAGCCATAGACCTGTGTGCTGAGGGGAAACACGACTGTGAGCAGGTGTGTGTCAGCTCACCTGGTTCCTTCACCTGTGACTGTAACAAAGGATACAAACTGAACGACGACAAGAAGACCTGCACAAGTACGTCTTACTGACACACATACCTGTGCTCACATGCCGATATAGAGATATAAACACATCCAGTAAGAACTGTGCTTTTCATGAAGAGATGTTTTCTGCTTGAATTCATGTTTCTTGATGCTGAAATGGATTCTGAGCTTCACCAGCTGCTGATTCATGATTTCTCTGCTGCATCATGAAGCTGTGTGCAGGTTTACTCTATGTTCCTCCAGCTGAAATTTGTCCCACTTAGTTTGTAACAATGCCTGTATGAAAGTTGCACAGAGTATATCACTGCCACCATTAGGCCTACTTCCAATCCCCTCAACTCAACGATCAGACAAAAAACAACAACTCGCTTACAAAAAAGAAAACCTTTACTCTGGTTGTGTTAATGACCCAAATATTATTTTGTTATCATTCATTTTACTTCTAAAACATCCTCCAATGCATACATGTTTGTTACCTTTGAATAGTTTTCAAAGGCTGGTGCTTTTATTTTGAAAAGAAATATACAGGAAGTGTGAAGTAGAGTAACAGTTAAAAACACTTTATAAATGAAGTAGATGAGTGATCGTTGATAGGTTAATATACAGTATGTAGTTAAGATACCCAGCTTATGGAGGTAAAATTTTTGTACATTTTTAATTTTTTTTAATGAAAATAAATATAAGGTGACTTTATGACATTTTATTTTGTAGTTTTGTAAAATTTTATCCGGAGGTGTGTAAGCTCACACGGATACTACAATTCTTAGGTCATCTTTAAAGCATAAAGCATTTATTTCTTTTTGGAAAACAGACTAAGGCACACTATCAGTCAAATAATTTTAGAAATAATATTTTTTCTGTGAGTGCATAGGTTCACAGACCAGAAACAAAAACTTCCTGTGGACATCAGTCCTGATGTAACTGAGTTTACCAGGGAAGTGTGTGAACATAGCTGCAGACTGGATAGATGCTGCCTCATCTTATCATCTCCAAAGCGCCGAGTGAGCTCTTGTCCTTGACTCGAAACAAAGTCGATTCAGCATTTAACATTAAACTCAAGCTCAGGTCTTGTTTCATCAGTCTTGTTAAAGGTAAGATCCAACAGTGGGACTACAGGAACATAGATGTGAACCTGCACCTTTAGCTGCTCTGCTGCTTACCGCTTCGCTGCTCTCCTCCCTCAGTGATCGACTTCTGTTCCTTTGGAAACCACAGTTGTGATCACGAGTGTGTGAGTGTGCTCAATGGCTATCACTGCCGCTGTAATGAGGGATACAGACTACTGGATGACGGCAAGACCTGCCAAGGTGAGTACTGCTAACCTGGGGTCAATTTCACCGTCAGTGCTTCATTAACAGACAAAAACATACTGTCCACTGCTGATATACTGAAGGTAAGAATCACATTCATGCCGTGTTTGGAAACAACCTGACTAACATTTACTGATGAGGCTGTACATGTATCTGGACTGAAGTGGATTTCCTGACTATTATTTCTGAATGAAAAGGAACTTTTTTAAATATTGCTTCTCTGTTATGTCTCCTACCAGATGAGTGTAGCTTTACTTAGAGTTTTTACTCACACATGACTTTAAAACTGGAATTCACGTGTTTATAATCCGAAAAAAAAAAAAAAACCTTCAGAACTGAACAACATTCGTTGCACATTCCCTGTCCCTGTTTGTCCCAGTAAATGGGTAATTAATCCAGGAATAGAAATATACAATATTTCTACTGACTCAGTTCAGATGAGATATGCTTGTTTCCAAATGTCTTTGCAGGTTTTAAATCCTGTGAATTCACCTTTTCCCTCCTTCATTAAGATAGAAGCCTTTTATTTACATGACCTCTTAAAGTTCGATTTGAAGACACCAATCGTTCTCACAACTGTGTTTACGTACCAGGTCAAAAATGAAGCAATGTTACGTTAGCATAGCAGGTCCTGGCAGATAAAAGCAAACAAATCTAAACTTAAAATGTCAAACTGAAGTTTAATCCTGAAAGATCGATGTTACTCTGAAGAACCTAAAAAAACAATCTTAAAACTTTAAATACCAGAGTCTTATGACAGACATGCCAATATTTCCACCTGAGACCAAGAAAGACTGAATAAAGACAATCACCCTTACTCTCATTAATTATATCTCCTTGTAAATATAACAGTCTGAATTCAAAATGTGACATAAATAACAAGCATGAGGTTTAAAGCAGCCTTAAGCAGCACTACAGGAAAGCCACTCGATAGACAAACAAGTTTTTTTATAATAGTAATGCATCAGATTTTATTGCGCTTTATCAGAGACCCTCAAAGCGCTTTACATTGGATACATCATTCATTCACTCACACCTTGGTGGTGGTAAACTACCTTATTAGTCACAGCTGACCTGGGGCAGACTGACGGACACATGGCTGCCAATTTGCGCCTACTGTCTCCCCAACCACCACCACACAACACTCACAATCATACACCAGTGGAGGACACACACTGGGAGCAAGGTGGGTTAAGTGTCTTGCCCAAGGACACAACAGAGAGACAGGGGAGAGGGGGGAATCAAACAGCCAACCTTTTGGTTAGTGGAGGACTGCTCTACCTCTTGAGCTACTGCCGCCCCCTACAAAAACTTTTTTTTTTTTTTTTTATCTAGTCAGGGTTTTTTTTATTTTTTTTATTGCACATATTGCACATTAAATCTTAATTCACATTTCTGAACATAAACACAGACTGATGTATAACATTTGGGCTTTTTGGACTGCCATTACTCTTTTGGAGATGTCAGAAATCTTCAGCCTGTCATCACAAGAGCTGAAGTTTTATGAGAGTCTTCATAACACAAAAGGTAGGAGACACACATCTGTAGGCTCACAGCAGCATCTTAAAAAACAAACAAACATGTACACAGGGAAAACTGTCATCTGTCATGCAGACAAAAACACACTCCTGTCACAGATGTTTTAGTTACACAGAAACATCTGCAGCTCAGGATGTTGTTGACAGAAAAAAAACAGTGAGGAGAGGACAATTTACAGCCTCTGCAGTAAGCGGGGACTTTCTTTTCCCTGAAGACACTAAAACCTTCAAAGCTCCAGTAACACATCGTGTAATCGTCGGCCGTTTAACCCAAATACCACAGCAGCAGTTATGTAAGGAGGAGTAAAAGAGGAGATTGTTAACACCTCCGCTGCTCCGGCTGTTTTCTCCCTTTCTTTGAACATCTGCTTCACAACCTACATTTGAAAAGGCGGGGTCATTAAAAGGCCATAAACAAGGAGATAATATGTGTGTGAGCTAGACTGAGTGAAAATTCACTTCAAGCTCCTCTGAGATTCAGATTTTTTACTTTTCGGAAACAGGTCACAAGTGCAATAAAGAGAGAGAAGCTTCAGTCCTCATTTTGAGTGCATTCGGGGACAGTTCAAAGTGTGGGAAATTTGTGTTTTGGCAATAATATGCTGTCATTTTAGAGGAACTCTGCACAATAAGACATGCTGACTCTAACTGTGGTATATTTTCGATGTTTCCCCATACAAAAAACACAAAACATTCTTAAATTTCCAGAAATTTTGAAGAATAAACTCTCACTTTTACGCCACCATTGTGGTTTACACTGTGATGTCAGGTGGTTGCTGCACTTTGGCTGCTCTGCTGAGTTTATTTCCTAAAATTTCTGTCATGTTTTTTTTTTTTGCACTGGATACATCGGAAATAAAACATGTTAATCAAATAAGGTTAACATGTCTCATTACAGGATATTCCCTTTAAAGCTTTACTCTGAACAAAGATTTTACACATTTCAGTAAAAGACTGTAAATGTGGGTAAAATGCTCTCTGTGTGGAAATACTGTGATGAAAGTACAAGTTAAAAAGTAACTCTTATAATAATGCACAGGACAAAAACCCCTTTCATCTATGCCCCTGTCAAATAACTAATAAAGTAGCAAAGACCTGAACACACACAGTGTAACCTTTTCAATGTGTGTGTGTGTGTGTGTGTGTGTTATGTAGCCATTGACCTTTGCACTGAGGGGAAACATGACTGTGAACAAATCTGTATCAGCGCGCCCGGCGTCTTCTCCTGCGACTGCAACGAAGGATACACACTCAATGAGGACAAGAAGACCTGTGCACGTCAGTCAGGCCGCACACACACACACACACACACACACACAAACAAATGTACACACTAGAGCCTCATAATTGATACACAGGTAGACTTAAACTTCCATGACTGCAAATAGCCTCATTATGAGCCTTTAGAAATATATATGTGACTGTGTGTTTTCTTCTGCAGTGACCCAAACATACTAAAACTTCTTTATTTTAAGTTTTTAGGAAATTATTGTTTAAAGAACAAACCTCATAGTAATTAGAAAAGTCCATTTAGATTTTAAACAGACACAGTGACAAGAAGAGGTGGACTAAAATATTCAGCAGAACCTGAAAAAGGAAAATAATGTTTGTGCAGATTTAGAAATTTTATCATCATGTCGCTTTTCCAGCAGAGAGCGCTCTGACTGCAGAGTTTAAAACCCTCTCAGCACTGTCTGCAGCTCATGGAGCACAGCCTGGACCTCATTCATCACAATGATTAACAACCTATTTTAATTCTGCACATTCTGACTGTGATAAAGCAGACCTGTGAGAACGTTTGAACAGTGAATTTGGAGCTTAATCTTCAGAGGAGGTCTTGCAATTTCAAATTAAACAACCAATTGATCTGCCAACACATTAGTATAGATGTTTCTAAGACAGATCTGTACCTGGTAGATACTATCCAATACTGCTGAGGCTGCAGTGCACTCACTTAAAAACATTAATTTACAGTGACCAAAAATCATCCCTAATAAATTTAATTCTGCAGGGGTGTGTTCACAAACACGGAGAGGAATTAAATGCTTTCTTGTGTTTTCTCACCATTTTATTGAGAAATATGTCGTTTGGTGGGTTTGTTGATTACTAACACTTGAGGACACACGAAACATCAGACATTCAGACACAAAGAATGAAACACACATAATGTCTCACTGCATCTTGATCTGCATATTGAAAATAACAGTGTGTGCATACTTTTGCCTGTGTGTGTTGTTTGTTTGTTTGTTTGTGTGTGTGTGTGATGTGCAGCCATTGACCTTTGCGCTGAGGGGAAGCATGACTGTGAACAGATCTGTATCAGCGCTCCAGGAGTCTTCACCTGCGACTGCAATAAAGGATTCAAACTCAACAAAGATAAAAAGACCTGCACAAGTCAGTACATTATTTTAAGGACAAGACTTTAATTTTGTTAAATCCATCTCTGCAAAACAAGAACAACCCATTTATGACAGATTTAAAAAGTTCTTGACCTCTTATGGATGGCCTGAGAGGGGTCCAATAAGACATGCATGCAGACTCTGCAGGGTTTTGGTGTTGCATTAATGCATGTCTGTGCCGTTGTCACTGTATAAGTTAATGCAGTGCTGCAACAAAATGGTAAATCTTTATTTGGACGAAACAAAACCTTTTTTTCTATCATATCTCAATTATTTAGTCACATGAAAACATGCTCTAACTGTTGGAGCAAAGAGTTGACTTAAGTAGTCATGTAAATGCTTCCAATAAAGGCTAAGATGCAGGCAATAACCGTACCCAAAGCTGACAGACTGATAGACAGTTAATGTAGAGGGATCATGACCCCCTAGAACAATGTGGACATGCTATGTTGTCAATATGAACATGTATGCAGAAAACTGGTCACTGTGGGTCTGAAGGATTTTCCTGTGCAGTTTTCTGGCTGTTTGTCGGCACCGATTGTTTTTATGAGCCTGCACCACGCGTCAATGTTCAAGGTGTTCAACAATTTTTCTGTCTTTCTATGTTCTGGAGCTCATTTTTATCCATTTTGTTGCTGTAAAAAAATATATATAATCCTAGAAAAATGCATTTGGTCTTGTTTTTTTCAAAGGAAACTAAACGTTTTGAACATTTTAACAAGTGATTGATCGTTGATAGTTAACATACCGAAGGTTGATGACTGAGAATACTTTCAATTTGCTGTCCTAATCACAACATGAAACGAAACTGTGTCATGTTAAAAAAGTGAAGGTTTTCCTTACAGTCTTTGGTGAATCAAGAGAAGCAACTTTTTAGGGTTGGGATTCTGTGCAGAGCACTTTCAGAAAAATATCATTTTTATTCATTTGCTGCACCGATATTTGAGTGTTTCTGGAATTCCTAATTTGTCTAAAACTCTGGCCTCGCTATCAGAGAGGAGAAAATAAGCATCAAGACATCTGTGTTCATAAAAGATTGATCATTTCCACATCTTGTGTTTGTTTGTTTGGCTGTGTTTCTGCAGACATGGACATGTGTAACACGGTGGAGCACGGCTGTGAGCACCAGTGCGTCAGCACTCCAGGATCGTACTACTGCATCTGTCCTGAGGGTCAGCTGCTGCAGGATGATGGAAAGAGCTGCGGCAGTGAGTGCTTGAGAAATGATCCGTTTAATGTTAAACCACCTGACCTCATGAACGTTTGAACAATTTAACTCAGAGCCATCATGACAGACACAGCTTTGATCAGGAGAGACTCAGCAGTGTCCTGTGGGCAGAGGGCTACAGGGGAAATAGGGTCCTGTGGGTCCTGTGGGTCCAGTCAGAGATGTTGCAGGTGCAGGATGTGATGGTTTAGGGCTGCTGCAGCAGGAGGTCAGCTCCCTAATCTCTCAGATCAGACTGAGCCAACTGAAGTAAAACAATCCTCAGAGACAGTCCAGATCCTTGCTGACTGTCTGTGCAGAGCTATTGCTGCTGAGCGCAGATGCATTTTAAATCAATGATCAATCAGATGAGGATCACTAAACTGGACTAACATCAAGAGCTGAGATGAGGATTAGAGTCAGAGGAGGGCGGGGTGATTTTCCCAGGAGGTGAAATAAAGAAATGTTTTCAAATGATCTAAATCTCATACAGATGTTAAAATCAGTGCAGTTTGTCTGTAAGGAAAGAGCCAGACAAAGACTGGCAGATATTTCTGTCCTCTGGGAGCTGAGAGGAGCTCAGAGTGACTGCCAGTAATCATCAAACAGCACCTCAGTGTGGAGAACAGTAGTAGTGCAGACAGCCTCATGTAATTTGCAGGTCGGAGTCTGAGTTGGAGCAGAAAACTGCAGGACATGCAGATTTAATAATCTGAAAAGACCTTTTTCTTTGAGCTCGTATTAGCTCTTGTACTTACACAACAATAACAGCAGCAGCACATTTCCCTGGATAGTCCTGTCTTTGGACTCCTGCAAAGCTTTTTTATTTGATCTTTGAAATTTTAAGGCTGAATGTCAGACTTACTTCAATGTGCAGATTACAGTAAGACACTGATTCTGCCAATACTGTCACCAGAGTGAATGTAATAATATGTGTGCTCTAACCATGCACAACAGAAAAACATAAACACCTGTTAACATCCTTTACATTTTAATCCTGCACTCTTATTTTTGTTGAAGCACAGGATATTAACCGAGAGGTTTTTGAATATGATCCAAACTTAATGTATGACAGACAGTATGTGTCTTTGCTATTTCTTGGTGTTAATGTCCTGTTACTGACCAAATGCCCAACTATTTAGCCATCTTTTTTTAGCACAAGATAAAAAAATGAGAAAAGTAGATCCACAAAAATAATTTCTGTAAGAAGATCAAACTTTAGGATGTGTGTATTAATTCCATCTCTTGCTCTTTCTCTCTCTCTCTTTCAGCCTGCAAATCTGCAAACATCGACCTGGTGCTTCTGATTGACGGCTCTAAGAGTGTCCGCCCACAAAACTTTGAGCTGGTCAAAAAGTTCGTCAACCAGGTCAGATGTGATTTGAATTTAAACAGCTGCTGGAGTGCCATCGTTTTATTCACTATTAAAATAAAAATAAGAAAAACTGAAACACGTAACGTTATCAGACTGAATCCTTTAAAGACAGAGAAGACATATCCAACTGAGCAATAGACGGCTATTAGACGTCTAGCTCTTTTCTTAAACCACACCAAAATAATTATGATAGCGTTGCGCAATCTACAGTGTAGTAAAGATATAGCCCAGATTTAGATTTAGGCTAAATTTGGTCTAAATTTAGGCGTCTAAAAATCTTTCACTTTTAGACCTGTGGTAGCCTGATTTTAGACCAGTTGTCTAGGCTACATTTAGACATCTAATAGACCTCTTTTAGACCAAAAAATGCTCAGTGGGATGGATGCTTATCATGTAACACTATTAGCTAGTCTGCAAAGTTAAGTCCTGTGGCTCATTTAAGAACAACCAATGTAGACCGAAGTGCTTCACAAGAAAAACAGCCATAAACAAACAAAAAAAAATCGCAGAGCCTTTCTTAATTTGAACAGAAATTACATGAATTTTCTCTGAAGGACACAAACGAACAGAGAAGTTGTAAAACTGTGTCACCTGACTGACCATCTCTTTCTGCCCTCCAGGTTGTGGACTCTCTGGACGTTTCGGCTCACGGCACCAGAGTGGGTCTGGTTCAGTACTCGAGTCGAGTCCGAACTGAGTTTCCTCTGAACATGTACCACACGGCTGATGAGATCAAAGCTGCTGTCATGAAGGTAAAAGCACTCATTTGACTTTTATTAACACGTCTGATTTCTTTTTTTTATATAAATTTATCCTGATTACCTGAAAGCAATAGTTTTTTTCTCCCAAAAAAAATTATTGAGCTATTGTAGTTTAATACCAGTTTATTATTTTTGCAATGCACTCAACTCACCTGCATATCACATTGACCCAAACATAAAAAAGTAGGATTATTTTTTTTTCAGGGTTTAATAATCAAACCATCTGATGTCAACACTCTGTACATAAAAGTCACCCACTGTAAAATCCACTGACTTTCTGAGGCCTGTATCTTTTAGAGAGTCAAGTCTGTATGGTAGCTTTAACGTGAATGTATCATGTGTTAGGCATCAAAAATGGCATCACAAAAATCCTCAGTCTTGTTGGCGATGCTCCTGTTTGGTTTTGTAGATTATAAAAGGTTTCAATATGAAAATCAGTCTGTGTCATAAACATCAAAAAGAGTTTCCTGACTCTGAAATCATGAAGCCCCAACAAAAATACAACAAACAGAAACATGAATAATATTGTGAAATTATTAGGAGGCCTCACTGACCACACGCTGACCTCAGGACTCTCTCTGTTCCTCTCCTCATCCAGGTTGAATACATGGAGAAGGGAACGATGACAGGTCTGGCTCTGAAACACATGCTGGAGAACAGTTTCTCTGAGGCTGATGGAGCTCGGCCTGCCAGCAGGAACATCCCCCGGATCGGCCTGGTGTTCACAGACGGACGCTCGCAGGATGACATCACCGAGTACGCCAAGAAGGCCAAAGAGGCCGGTGAGACTCCAGGGTTATACTGTATATCTGTATGTCCAATCATCTAACTCCAGGCCTGACTGTAAAACCTGTGACATGCATGGGTGTGCGTCTGCAGGTATCACCATGTACGCTGTGGGTGTGGGCAAAGCTGTAGAGGATGAACTTCGAGAGATCGCCTCTGAGCCCGTGGAGAAACATTTTTACTACACCACCGACTTCACCGCCATCAGCACCATCGCAGAGAACCTCAAACTCAACGTGTGTCCAGGTACAGCGCTCACTCAGTGATAAATCAGGATAAGATGACTTGTATTCGTTTTGAACACTGCCATTAAATGCCATCTGAAGCTTTAACCTATATCTATTTTCTTTTATATATTGCATTTTTTTCTTACTTATTTGATCATTCTGCTTTTTTTCTGTACATACTCATGCTGCTGGAGGTTTAATTTCCTTGAGGGAACCTTACCAAAAGGATCAATAAAGTCTAATCTAATCTAATCTGATTTTTACAGGAATATAGAGTGTACTTAAACACAGTATATCATGCACTGCAGTGCAGGATATAAAACAAAGGTTAAGATTCTCCAGCACTATTTGATGTAAAAAAAAAAAAAAACCTATTCTGAAAGAAAACGGCTTCCTCAAACAAATCTGTCAGTTTATCGATCTTTGTTTTAAAGCGGTTTTCACACAATCAGAAGGAAACACAGAGAGCTGTGCATAAACAAAAAATTATGAAATAAAAAAATTAATGAAAAACCCCAACCCCACAATCCATATACATAGTAAAGAAAAACACTCAGAAAACACTGTCATGGCGTCATTAATGAGAAAACCTTCAAGGTAGAATAAAGTGGTCAAAGACAAGATGGGAAACAACAAGTACAGGTTTGATACTAAAATATAAAAACTGTGGATCTGAAGGAGCGGCTGCAGCTTCTTGCTCATAGTGCATCATGTAGGCACAGCCGCTGTTGCACCTTTATCAGGAAAACTCAGTTTCCATTGTCAGCACATTCATGTCATAAATTACTATAACTTATAGCTTGAATTGATTAAATTAAATAAATAAACAAGTATGGACTTTAATATTCTTTTGATATGAGAGTTCAGGTTCTTTGTCCTAATTGAAGAGATGTAGCAGCTGAATTTGTCTTTCTCAGTCAGCAGATCATTTCTTTTCTGTCAGGGGAACCTGGCTTGGATCAAGCCTAATAACACAGTTTCTACTGGAAATGCGACTTGCAAAACCATTGCGTAGATTTAATTTTTTTGTCATTTGCTTAGTGTTGTCAATAAATTAAAAACAAATTTATGAATAGTTTGTAATAATAGCTCTGGTTTTATGATATCATGTTTATTAAAAAGAAGAACCTGTTCAAAGATGAGTAACATCGACACCAGTGTTATTGTTTATGCGGTCACGTTTAAGGTCATGATGTTTGTCTCTTTGCGCCATCTAGTGACTCTTAAAGGAACTGCTTCGTATTTAGTTTGTGTGTCTTTCTTATTTTAGGTTAAAAACAATCTCACTGAGCTAAATGTAGGTCAAATTCACCTGATAAATCCAGGAAAATGTCTCAATATTAAAATGTTATACACCAGAAATAAGAACCAATGTTCTTGTGTTGATAAAAAAAATCTGATATGAAAAATTTGCTTCTCGAGTTTCTTGAAAAAAGAGAACATCTTATTTTATAAACTGGGTACATTTTTCTTGTCCTGCTGGCAGATTACAACTCAAGTTTTATTTTTGGTGTGTAATGTTTTAAATTATAACATTTTTCTTGATTTAGCAGTTGGATGTGACCTAAATTTAAATGACCTATTTTTTACTAAAAATAAGACAATAACACCCGCAAAGATTAAGATTTTTGTAGTGAATAACAAATTTATCATTAAAAATTAGAGGATTAAAGTATGAAGTATGTTAAATGTACTCAGTGAAGAAAGTGTTTTGATTTCTTCTGTAAATATAACCTTCCTTGTCCCTTGTCCCTGTGTGCAGAGGAGAGTCAGGGGGAGATCGAGGTGAAGGACCCCTGTGCCTGTGAGAGTCTGGTGGAGTTCCAGCAGGCCACCATGAGCAGCCTGGAGCAGGTCGCACAGAAACATATCCTTTTTTATTATTATTATTTAACATCTTAAGCCAAGCTGAAGAAACCAAAACTTACAACCTTTCCTTCTGAGAATGCACAAATAATTTAAAACCCTACAGAGACTTTGGTCACGGGTAAATCACCGCTCTTTAGAGCAGAGCAGTAGAGATAAAAATGAACAGTAAAAACAAACACATCAACCCCCCCCCCCCCCCTTATACAGGAAAATAAACTCAGGCAGATCATCCTCTGGAAGTTCACTTTTATAAGGAATTTGCAGTAAAACATGATTATGAGGCCAATGTAATTCATGTCACAGATGTTGAGCAGAGGCCACAGTCACATCTGTCTTTTGATTGTTTTGGACTTTGCATCAGTCTGAAATTCTCCCCGTCACTTCCAAGTCAGGAAAAAACTTCTGGATAAGGGCCTTTGTCCTCTGACAGCATTTCATTGTGCTTATATTCCATATTTTTCTTACAAAACAAAAATATCTCTATTTTTTTCAGTGCCCAGCATCCAAATCACAGTCCAGACTCAATTCCTGTTCATGGCATGTTATATTTTCTTTGTAAAATCTCATCGAAGCCCCTGTGAGGGGACTTTCCCTGACTGAGCAACAGACTCAAAGCGTTATTGTTGCCTCTTTATGATCTCCAAAAGCAACTGGCAAAAAAACAGTCTGTTTTATAGTTTCCAGAACGTACAATATGTGGGACTCTTAAAAAAAACAACAGGAGGAGGGTTTTGTCTGAAAATACTCCTTTCACATGTGCAGGAGACAAGATGAGAGGTATCATTTAGTCCACAGACGGAGTCTCAAGCAACACAAACAGAAAGTTCCTCAAAGGAGCTGTAATAAAAGCAAACGTGAAGCATACAGAGGAATTTAAAACAGACCTAAGTTACCACCAAGGGAAATACATTTTGCAACCAGAGGCAATAATAAGAAGTGCTCTGACACCGAGGTCCTGGGTACTGTTACCACAAAAAAGGTGTTAGTGGACACAGGTCCTTAAAAATACGATGACTACTTATTTAGAGTTATTTAGTTTTGTTGTGTTTAGTTTTGATTTCCCTTTAGATAGAAAAAGCCTTTTTAGCGACAGAGTCCTGGTCGAGACAGCTGTATCAAAAGTTTCACAAAAGGAACAAGATGAACAACAAGTAACTACTTTATCAATCGATTGTTTATCAACCTTTAGTAGTGTTATGTCTGTGTCCGTGGTCAGATGATCTTTGATCCCAGATTTAAAATCCTCCAGACTAATAAAAGGATCTGATCTTAAGTGACCTTGGAGCTCAAACATGTTGGATTAGTTTTGGCCTGGATGGTTAATTTCTTTCTCAACACACCATAAAGGCAGTAACATTTTTTTTTCCCATTAGTTATTATTTTAACGGTGTTAAGTTTATGAGTTTTGAGTGTCACACTTGACTGACATATTATACTAATAACAAAGTCAGACTAACATACCAAGATAACGAAGTAGGGGAGTCTATTTCTCCTCCATGTGGATGTCTCAACAGACTCAAAGCAGCCTAGCCTCTTTGAAAGTTTAAGTCAGCATCTTCAACACGACATGCTTCAAAACTCTACTTCAGAGAACTAAAGGGTGATATCACTGAGACTGCGTCAGTCTATATTCCTCGATTATGTCCCGCTTGTTCACACTAGCTCGCCCAGACTCACTGCAGTGGGCTGACAGAACATTTTGGTAAGTTTAGGTTGATGCACGCTAGGCATGTTATAGCATGTTGTAAGTATTGATCATGAACACTTGTGATCAGACTTAGACTGACTGACATTGTGATTCCTTAACGGATTATTCACTGGCCGGGATGTCAGCTCGTCTGGAGCAGCTGGAGAACCAGCTCCTCTCCAGGAAGTGATCTGTTCACGTAAAATGACACCACAGAGGAAGAAGAACAGAGCGAGGAGGAGGAGGGCACATCCTGGGAACAAGGTTAGAGGGTAATCAGAAACCCTTCAATCATGGACAAAACCAAAGAGGTCTGTTTCTCTGTACATGGGTGACTCTAACATGAGGGTTTGTGACGAAGAGTCATTTTTCTGAGGGTGGAAGTGACCTCATTTTTACACTTTCAGTCTAAGAAACAACAACAGCACCACATGCATTCGTCTGCTTATCAAGACAGCAGTTACAGAACAAAAACATTTACATCTCTGTGATTTTGCAGGAAGCCTTAATTTGTAGGATTCACAACCAAAGAACCTGAATCACAGGTAAATCCAAAGAGTCGTTGTTTATCTATATCACAGGTGTTAAAACTCTCCTCATGTGTAAAGGAGACTGAAGGCCTGTTGGCTCGCTGTCCAGACCAGCTGTATCATTGTACTGTACATATTTAATCATTTTACACTTATTATCACAGCCTGACACTCTTCACCTATTTCTCCAAGTGCCCTGTTTATACTTGATCTGTTTTGTACGGTTTGTTAAATATGATGTATTTATAGCAGATTGATTTTGTTTTTTAAGTAGGATAGTATTTCTTTTGTTTTTTTTTTAAATGAAGCGTTATTACCACTCCCTGTATCAAATTGGTCATTGTCTCACAGAATTAAACAAACTTTTTCCAACCAGAGGTGGATTGACTCTGCAGTAAGAATGAGGAAAATGTTCAAATTTGCTAAAAAGGGAAGTTAAACAGTTCAGAGTCTCATCTCTCTCCAAAGCTGTGGTCTGTTAAGAGAAATACAAGATGATTAGGTTTCAAATACACCAATCAAAGCATTCAAATACTCCTCTCTGCACTTCTAACTTTGGTCTCTCAACATTTCTTAGTCAATTTTTTTTTTTTTTTTTTTAAATCTCCAGCCTTTACCGACCGCTCTGTGGTAGTTTAGTCACATGACTCAAACAGGAGGTCTGACAGGGTACTGAGGGTGTAGATGAGTGACCACCTGAACTCCAGCAGATCGCCTCACTCTTGTAGTTTTTGTATAGTAAAAAAAGCCACCTCAAATATACCCCTCTCTTTATATCTGAATGCTTGTATGTTTTTGTATATTTTCTGATAAAGTTACCTTTTTTGTATTTTATGATGAAGCTCTGTATACCAGCTCAGAGGGCAATAAAAGAGTGAACTTTTCACGCTTGAGTGTTGTCTTTTATTTTACACCTCATTTTTAGATTTTAGATCTTAAAGGATATATATATTTGCTACTGCAGAAGAGGTTTTTCTGTAGGTTAGAAGATCTTCAACCATGGTTATGTTTTGTATTTGACAGGCAGCCATGGGCTTTTGTTTATTTGTTTGTTTAATGAGGAACACTGACCTCAGTTTTAAAGTGCAGATATACCAATGTTTTGCACATGATTGTAATGATTGTAGGTGCAGGTGTAAATTGAACAATGACTACTAGTTAAAAGTGCAGGACTCGGCTCTATTGCATGACGTTTGCATAAACTGATGTGTTTTGCACGTACAATTGTACAGAGCTCCTCCAAAACAATGCCCCCGCTCACATGCACGAGCGCTGCTGTCTGCTGATTCAAAACCACGGACTCCAAACTTTGGGACTTTAGACTGGGAAGTCTTTGCTTGCAGGGACAAAGAAGGTAACATCAGCATTGGGATGACCACATAACTAGCATCGTAGGTAAATACTTGATCAAGATTAAACATTGCCCTGAAACAAACCTTCAACGTATCTTTCCAAAAGAAAATGAGCGACCATGGCATCACTTTTAAAGCCCTTGACCTCTTTGCTGAAAAGCTGTCCCGATGTTGACTTTTGTTTTCGCCCTTGCGTTCTCCAATCTCTGTTTTGCTTTGGCCTTCTCTGCCTCCGTCCTTAATTCACCATGAAGGACTTCACCATTAATCTGTGTATAGGTAGTTTCTCTGCCATTCTCCAGCCGAGCTGTATCCCTCTCAGCTCGGCTATGCACTTGAATCAGGGCCAGTGCACACCGGCGACATGTACGTGCAGGAGACGAACACAGGATTTGATTGGTGTAAAAATGTGGGACCCGCATGATGTGATTGGTTGGTGTTTTCCCAGTTTTACTCCTGCTGTAGATAGCGGCTATGTTTCGCTCTTTTTAAGAACACATCAGGTATTGATTGCCATCGGAACATAAAGATCATCTTAACCAGAATAACAAAAAGTGTATCCAAATCAGTTTACCACCCCTACCTTTATCAAGATAGTCAAACACCAATTGAAAACTCCCTATAAGGTTCAGCAGTGCCCAAAAGTACAATATTACAATAGTTCCAGTGAAACTATTGACAACATTTTGACTGAGTATCATCTATTAATTGAAGATTGTAATGAGCAAATATTGGCTAGGTTTGGTCCACATGTAATCAGTATACAGTGGTTATCAGTACATCCCAGTGAGTGTGCCTTGAGACTTTCAGAGAAATAAACTTTGAAAGGCCGATCATGAGGCCCATGACCTGGTTAGTCCTTGTACCTGTGTCTGACAACAACCGTCCACCTTATCAGACCCACACTCACAGAGATTTTTAGGCCCCACTGCATACAAAATTTCCATCCATTTGAAAAACTTAAATGAAACATAATTAGGCCAATAAACTTTATGTGCTGCATATTTGTCAGTCAAATGTAAATGAAACAATTAAGAATTATATTTATGTCATAATACCGATAAACCCAATGTGTTGAGAATGAATAATGAAGATTTATGTTTTCATCATTGATAACTCCAATTTGTTTCTGTCTCATAAGTTTTAACTAAATGAATCTTGGTTGATCCACAGCTCATCATATTTAAACTATATTCAGAGATTTTAACTGATTAAACTGAATTGTTTTCAGAATTAAAAGATTTATGCTGATTTTAAGAGAAATTTGAATAAATTACTTTTTATTTTTATTAAAATAAAATCAAATAGATGTAAATACAAAAATAAACTATGCCATATCATATATATATATATTTTGAGTGCATTGGGTCAAAGCAGATTGTGGTTCACCGTGAGTCTGCAGGAGGTTTCTGACTGTAAAGATGTTTTGACTCATGTTGGGTTTCTCTAAATGACATACCAGAGAGTTCAGTCTCAGTTTTGTCTCACTGCAGACAGTCTTGGGGTGACTTCTTATAGGACTTGGATTTATAAAAGTGTAACTGTATTGATTGATGGCCTAAGCAGGGTCTGCAGAGATACTTTAGTATTAAAAACAGCACGCTGATTCTTGTGAGGAATACTTGTAGTTACATCCTCATTTTCAGGGTTTCCTCTCTCAATACTTCATGTCTGAGTTAATGTCTCCAGTGATTTTTTGGGATTGATATCAATGGGATATGAATTTAATTAACAAGAGAACACAGCAAATCTCTGGTTTAAAAAGTTGGTCTGAAATATGACCTTGGGCTAAATAAAAGACTTAACTTTTGACCCATTTGATCAAAAACTTTTCCATAACTTTACTTGTACCTGACTGAACAGCTACAGTCCCTAATAGCCAGTCAGTCCCTGATGGGTGATAGAAGTTTGTCTCTTGTAAGGTTAACAAACAGAGGGTTGTGTTTTTAAAAGCTGTAAAGGTCAAACAGACATGCAAAGGAGCAAAGCTAAATCCTGGTGGATCACTGTTTCCTGTGTTTAAAGATCAGCTCCACAGAGACGGTTCCTCCTCGCAGACACAGACTGACAGTGACCTTATAAAACTGATCTCTGAGGACTCTGATGCAACAACGTGTTTGTTTGTTTCTGTCTGTCTTTGAACAAACTTTACCAAGTTCAACACTAACTATATCAAAACTGACCAGATCTGGTAACTCTGCTGCTCAAACAATTGCTTTGATAACTCTCATATTCACACTGTACTTAAATTAAGGTAACCTAGTGCATTTCAATTCATGAATAAAATTACTGTTGATACAGGTCGGAAAACTCATCATGAATTGCTGTTAAAAATATAATATAAAGGATGGCTGCTGGTCTCACACTTGAAGCCCCAGCTTCTAGTATAGGGGCAATGATCACAGTGGTTGCTGGTTCGACTCACAGACTTGACCTTTTCGCTGCATGTCTGCCCTCACGCTCTGCTCTATCTTTGCCACTAGATGGCGCAACTAAAAAGTAGAATACTAGTTTTCTTCCTTTACATGAGCTGCGTCCGAATTGCCAAGTAGTAGTCGAAGTAATAGTCGAAGTAGTATCTAGCATGTCCGAATTGGCCACCGGAGCGAGTAGCATGCTACTTCAGATACTACTTCAGATGCTAGACACGCCCACATTATAGGTTGGTCTCGGTGCATCCTACGGGCATGCTACTGACCCAAAATGCACCGCGGGCTTCTTCTTCGTCCTCTTAAAAGTTGTAGAAGCGCATGTGATGCTAGCGCCACCAGCTGCTCTGCCTATTTAAAAGTGTCGCGAACGCCGGCTGGCCACAGCAGCGCGCACCATGTCGGAGCAGCAGCAGCAGCAGGCGGGACCGCAGCAGTACAGATGTAAGTTTCATGTAACTTCACACACTGTCCTAAAAAATGTGCGGTTGTATCTCTTTGTCATGTCATGGTGTCATATTTGCCCAAGTAATCATTTTATGAGCAAGTGGCGACATCATGGAGGTAAAGCTCACTTATTCCATCATTAAACTGCACAGCTGCAGTACTACAGCCAGGCCCGCAGATGAGGGGCTTCAGTTACCACTGTCTGCTCGGGCGCAGTACCTACTCTCTGCCTGCGGGGGTCGTCTTTCCCCACCGCTCGTCTAGTGTGTCCGAATTGGGCTAACGTTTTTAGTATGTAGGAGTAGGATCTAGCAGTAGCACGTAGCAGTAGCATGTAGTATCCGAGCGGGCAGTTCGGACGCAGCAAAGGTCAAGGGTCATGTCCTGTCTGAGAAGAAAAGAGCACATTGTGAGTTGAGATGAGCGCCAATGAACTATTTTGCCCAACTTAAAGTAAAAAAAAAACTATATAACTTTATATATTTTAAAATAAGCTTCTTCCAGATAAAAATCCTTGCAGTGATACATGTGGACTTGTTAGAGGAGAGATTAAGGCATCCTGTCATACCTCAGTCATTGTTCTGTTTTATGCTAACTTAAAACTAGAGCTTTAATTAGCAGACATAGCAGCTTGGGGCAACATGTCTCAGTCATTTTGGGGTTAGTTGTCACATGTTCAAAAGGGATTAAAATTAACATAGAGAGTCTGCTTATCAGCAGTTTTCACATTGAACTTTTGACTTAATCTTTACAGAAACAAAGAGTGGTTTAAGGGAGAGGAGAAAGTGAGAAGACATGGTCAGGAATTACAAAAGAAAAACAGAACATGGTAGTGCAGTTCCTGACGTGATGCTGAGAGCAGTCAGACAGGTGATCCTAGCCAATTAATCAAGCTGGAGTTCAATAAAGGACTTTAACGTCAACTACCATACCTTGGCTCGGTACTGCAAAACATTCACCCCAGCCGAAATACAGAGTCAGACAGCTCTCTAAAATTCAGAGCATGTTGCATAATATTTTATGTTAACATTTGTTTAATGACTTTTTCTAGCTCAATGATAAACATTTTCTGTGCCTGACTTTGATGTTCACTTTCAAGTAAAATAACAAGAACAACAATAATTTTGTCCGTGTTTTATTAGCTGCAAAATCAACTGTGACATCTTACCCCATGTAGTGAGACAACTTACCCGATGATGGGGCAACATGTCACATGTTCACACTCTCTATTTGATTGCTTATAACTCTGCACTGATACATGATATGAAAATGACATAAATATGAAATGTATACCTGAGACTTTGGTCTTTTGTGTGGTACACATTTTGTTTCTATATGATGTATTGATTCTAAGAAATATATAAGAGTGTTAAAAGTTTGACAACAAGCCCTGGTCTCCCCTACCATTTTAAAAATGTAGGTTAAGTATAATAATGATGACTGGCCCACACTTGGCAGACATTGAAGCTTGAATACTAACAGGGGATTTTGACACACCTTTTTGAGGACACTACCCACATGATTAACTGTGTTGCTCGTTACACAAATGCAAAATCCTACAAGTTGTACTCCATCATAAAGGTTACTGATCAGGCTGTCCAACCTCATAAAATATAATACTAACTGGCATTTTTAAAGGGGAGACATAATTGACTGAAATAATGTTCCCAAACAGTATTTGAGGAGTTTCTTTAATGTTTATGTTGGTTTGTGTAGATCAGGTTTTGATCATTTATTCAGTTTAGAAAGAGAACTGCATGTGTGTTTGCCTGCATGTCTGTCCACATGCCATCTTGTTCAGCTATCAGGATAGAGAAACACAAACAACATGTTTTCCCTGTTAAGGTTCTATAGTAATTGTGGACAAACGCATCAACAAGATGGATTTGTGAAAGAAACAGAGAACATGAGGGCAGGAAACTCTGTGCAGTCTTGCAGTCCAGTTTTTCCAAAGTCAACACACAACTCTTTACTTCCAAGGGTCATGGTCTCACTGTCAGGATTCTGATTTTCATCACCACTTATTCACTTTAAATAACCCCTAACCTGTTTAACTGTTATAAATGTTATATTATTATGATGTTTTCAAAAACAATCCTCATATAGTTACAAAGTTACAAACCACTAATATGGTAATTATTAATCCTTTTTTCAATAAAAGTCAAGTCTACAGGGTTAATATACCAACTCAGCTGCAACAGAGAACTCTAGCTGTTATTAAAGTTACACAACTCTTGCATTGAAACTTTAAAACTGAAGTGATGCAACAGGGCAATCATCATTAACTTTAAGTTGCCCCTGAGTAAACTTTGTTACCACAGGTTTCAAAGTGTAAGTTTGTAAAACTTGAAATACGTTCATCACGTGAGGACCACATGAAAGTGTCTCTCCTCAGGGGTGATGAGTTCAAACACAAAGAGCATGTCTGCAGAGGATATATTTTAATAAACAACCTTTTGAAAGTCAGGGTTCCTGACCCCATATTCTCCTCTGAGTATCCTGCAGGTTGTTTCTCATTGTCTGCAGAGGTCTGTGATCTTTAAAATCATCTTTAAAATCACAGCTAATAGACAGGAGCTTTGTTATTGTGGGTGAATTTAATGACAGAGATGATCAAATCTCTCAGCAGACATGAGTAATAAATCCCTCTGATACTGTGTGTGTGTGTGTGTGTGTGTGTGTGTGTGTGTGTGTGTGTGTGTGTGTGTGTGTGTGTGTGTGTGTGTGTGTGTGTGTGTGTGTGTGTGTGTGTGACCTTTACCTGCAGAGCTAATGAGGGCTGATGGGAAAGATGCTCACTCCGTGTCCCGCAGAATCGCTCTCTGTCTCTAAATACACAGAGGGTTACTTCAAATGTCAGCAGGTCCCACAAGTCCTTCATGAGCACATTTTTACATGGTGTTTACTCCAGAGCCATGCAATCTGAAGAATCAAGCTCTGAGGAGCGTCAGGGGTTGTTTTGAAAAGTGAAAAGTTTGTGAAAGAAGTTTACAGAGCAATCTCATAACAGACGGTTTTACCGCTTCTACTCTTTCACAAGAACGCTGAGTCATGATATCATTTTAGTTTATTAACCTACACTGAACAGTGAAATTTAAAGACAATTTGGCATAACAGAGAAAAAGAAACTCAATATCACACTGAACAAGAGGACTATTATACGCTTTTTATTAATGTTCACTTCGTGCCCTTCAATAAGGCAAGGCCTGAGGCCCTGTAGCCCCACTCTGCCCCTCTGTGCTGGACTCTGTCACCGAGGTTCTGGCGTGGTTTCTGTCAAACTTGTGCAACATGCATCAAAATAAATCTATGAAACTGTCCTTTGAGCAAGCTGGGCATTTTCAGATCCATCAGCAAGCTTGTATTAGTTTTTACTGGCTGATGGGTCTGCTGTCATTCTGAAGGATTTTCTGTCAATCTCAGGTTTATTGGACCAATCTTGGCCCTGTATTTAAAGATGGGGTAGGTTCTTTAAGATGTTAGCCTATGCCATTGGGAGGTTTGCTGAATCCACTTTTGTGGCTGCTTTAAACACATCAAATCATATTTTTTTACTGAAACAACAACAACAACAAAAAAGAAAAAACACACACACACATCCAGTGTTCACTGGTAAAACATACATACACATGTGTGTCAGTTGTTTTTTCACATTTTCTGTTGCTGTGCACTACATGACAAACTGAGTTGCTCTGTTTAGTTGTTGGTGCCCAATCACATTAACTAACACAGTCTGGAAAAGGACATAAAATGGACGGTAATGAGTAATGATGAGAGCATACGGGACGCTACTCCAGGTGGCCTGATCAACTGGTACGCTGTATTATTATGAGTTCAAATAACTGATTGCAGTTCCGATATGAACTTTTCCCCCAGACTTCAAATGAGGGTTCAAAGGTCAAATAAAAAGTGACACAGGTTTGACTCCAGCCTGTCTGTCACTTCCCACTTTCTTTTCCCATTTACTGTCTTAATCAAAAAACAAAGTGCCCAATAATGAAATAAAAGAATAGTTGACTTATGGGAATTATTAATATATCATTATTCATTCTTATTCATTCATTCAGCCAATGTTTTTTTGTTTTTTTCTGGTACTTAAATTGTGTATATTGTATATAGTTTTATTTTCTTCTCCCTTTTTCCTTTTCTAAAATTTTTTCTTAATTGTAACATTTAAGTTCTTAATATTACCATCTTTATTTTTGTAACTGCATTTTTGCACTTTCTTTGGCTGTGATGCTGCTGTGGCAAAAGAATTTCCCCCATGCGGGATCCATAAAATAATATTCTATTCTATCATAATGAATGGTTATGAATTTTTCCACTGCTTAATGCTTGTGGATTTATCCCTTATTTTTTTATACCTTGGTTTTGCCTATTAAGAGTCCCAGTTAAAGGTTTATGTAAAAGCTTGAACATGCTTCCCAACAGTAGACTAGGCTGTATATGAGATCTGTTTCAGAGGGAAAAAGGTTTCAACTTTACGGGCTCTATTTTCATGCCTTGTGACTTTTTGTGACTTACATTGCACCTACGCCACCAGCGAGGCACGAAAATACAGCCCTATGTCTGCATGGAGACTTACATTGTGTTCAGCAATGTTAAGTTTTTATGCAGCTGTGTAACTCTCAGGGCTGTCAACGAATATACTAAATTCAAATATATATTCGAATAAAAAAAAAAAAGACATTGTGTAAATTAATATTCGAATATTAAATAAACAGCGAGAAATAAACTAAGGGGGAGGGAAAAAAAAGAGGCTGCGTTGAGAGTGAGCAAACTGTAATGATGGGTCAGGGACAGGAGCTGCCCAGCACACTATCTGTTGAGGCTAAGTCGATGCTTAAAGCCACTGAGGTGCTGTGCCTGGATAGACAGATTGACGCGAGTAAAACTTTGCACTTGATGAATGAAAGTCCAGATTAAATTGCTTTGCTGAACACATTGTGTGTTTATTTTTACTTCCCAAAGCTCCAAAAATGTTCAAAAGACTACAAAAAAAACATGTTCCACACATTCTCTGCAGCAACAATTGAGCAGTCAAAAAACTGTTCTCTCTTTCAGGTAGAGCACCTACCTAGATACAAAGGTTCCTACCTTATCACTGTGAAAACAGTGATACAACAAATTTCATTATGTCACAATATCTGTTTCTACACTATCCATACAGGAGTTGAGTTCCACCTATTATGAGGCACTGCAACCCCGGGTGGGGGTGGACAATCGTGCCATGGAGAGCCGAGAGGCTGCAGGTTTTCTGTCCAACCCAAAACTCCACCAGGTGATTTCACTGATTAGTCCCTGCTCTCAATCAGTGAAATCACCTGGTGGAGTTTTGGGTTGGAAAGAAAACCTGCAGCCTCTTTGCCCTCCATGGCACATGATTGCCCAGCCCTGACCTAGACTAATGTAGCCCCCTCTGCTGGTGACTTGTCATAAACATAAAAGTCTTTCAATCTTTACTAAAAAGTGAGCTAAACAGAGTACCAGTGTTTTCCTTAAATGCAGGATTATGACCCAGTGGCTGAGAAAAGTGTCACAAATTGACGCCCTTTTATCCAGCCTGCCTTGTGCTGTGATGTGGTCACTTGCTTCCTTGAGCGCCATTTTCTGTCATACCACAGAATGTGCGAACATACATACACACACATCAGCCCTCCAAACCATATAAAAGACCTCTGCTGAGTCTCTCTGCTTTAAATGCATCGGCTCGGGTAAGTCCTGCACATCCATGTAGTTCATAATAATTCAATGCTTGGTTACTGTTAAACTGCTGCATGTGTTACCAGTGTCCGATTACTATGTTTATCACTGTATTTTCTTTTCAGAGGCCTTAAAATCATTCTGCTCTAAAGAAAACAGCTCATTTCCATGTGTTTTTGATACAATACCACAAGAAGTGGCAGCAATGCTGACAGATTTTTAAATTCAATGTGAAATGTTTACTAGTTTACTAGTTTACTAGTATACACCCGATAATACTTGACTATAAATTTCAACCCCTCTTTTTGTTTTTGGATCATTTTTTAAGTTATTATGTTTCTTTTTCTGACCTTTTTGGCCTTTTTACTTCCATCATAGTTTGAAATACATTTACATTTGACTTTTTCACCGATGCATCACTCCTGAGCCTGAGATGATATCCTCTTTAGTGTTGATAAAGTTTTGATACTAACTACTACACTAACAAACTAACAAGAAATATTGCTGATAAGTAAGAACTTCAACCATGTTTAATTCTTCATATCTCAGACTCAGTGGTTAAACTCTGTCGCACAGTCGGGAAAGGAATAATGTTAGGGACATAATTGTTTTATACATGTCTGTGTGATCTATAAAGCATAATCTTGCTCAAGAATAGCTACTTATTTCTATCTGTGATGTCTCTTGTTGTAGTGATGAGCTGATTTTCTAAGCATGATGAATGCTTGGTTTATTTTTTGTATTACATATAAAACTATAAAACTAGAAATGAATTTTATTGATGATTATTTTACAGTTTGTAATCATGAATCCTATCAGAATTAAACATGGGGTCAGGTCAGTCATTTTATTTATTGTTATAATAACTATCAGGAATAACTTTTTTCTCTTGTCAGGTCTTTGAGAGATGAACATCTCAGCTGCCAATGTGACCATTGTAATTGAATACCGAGACACCCTCGCTAAAGCTGTCACCAAAAATGTGGTTGTTGTTGTTCTCAGCATCTCTCTCAACTGTATCAATGCGGGACTCGTACAAACCTTTCGCAAACACCAGGTATGATATTATTTTCAGCAAAACTTAAAGCCCCTGTGAAGAACTCTCAGTGCGTGTCTAGTTTGGTGCTCCCGGTGGATAAAACAGTCTTTATTTTCTTGTCTTGACATACTTTAGTTGTGTCTCATCCTGCTGTTATATTTGTGTTTAACTGTCAATATTTAAATCCTAAAGACAGGGCTGTTTCTTCAGCTGCTTAACTCCCCTCACATAGATTTGGGGCATAAAAAATTATCTACAAACTGATAGTCTTGTTGCTAATGGTCTTGTTTGCTTTAAAATGTCTTTAAAAAGCATAAAAACTTTCAGTCTTTTCAGAGAAAAGACTGAAAGTTAGAATTAGAAGAATAAGAAATTATTGGAAGTTTACAGTGATTAGTTTATCAAAATTAACTTGTCCATTTTACAACCCAACCAAAAGCCATTACATCAATAAAAATCAACATAACACTTGTCTTATTCTACAAAATCCTCCCAGTTAGTTGATTTTAAAAGTCCACTTTTCTTTCATCTGAAATGTTCCTCTTCTCCTTTTCATCCTCCTATCCTACAGATCTTCTACACGAATCCTCGCTACATCCTGTTCATCCACCTGGTGCTCAACGACATGATTCAGGTGATGCTGACAGTCATCCTGTTCATCATCAGCTACATCCTCCACAAAATAAAAGTCTACATATGTTGTCTCTTCATCCTGCTGGCTCTCATCGTCACTGAGAACACCCCGCTGAACTTGGCCTGCATGGCGGTGGAGTGCTACATTGCCATCTGCATGCCACTTCGCCATGTGCAGATGTGCACCATCAGGAGGACGCGAGTGCTCATTGGTTTAATCTGGATTGCCAGCTTGCTTTCTGTTTTTCCTGACCTCATCGGTGCTTTGGCCACAGAGCAGCTGAGCTTCTTCAACACAAGAGTCTTCTGTCTACGAGAAAGTGCATTTAGAAATCCTCATACCATCAAGAAAAGAGACGTCACTTACATCATTTACCTGGTCATAGTTTGGCTGGTCATCTTTTACACTTATTTCAGAATCCTCTTCACTGCAAAAACTGCTAGCAAAGATGCCAAAAAAGCCAGAAACACCATTGTTCTTCATGGTTTCCAGCTGCTGCTGTGCATGACAACATATGCAGACCCTCTGTTAAAAAAGGCCCTCCTGTACTTGTTTCCTAAGAACTTTTCAGACATTCTGTTCGCCTGCTATATTATTATTCAAATCCTGCCACGCTCCATAAGTCCTATCATCTATGGCATACGAGACAAGACTTTTAGGAAGTACCTGAGGAGGAATCTGCTCTGTAAAGTCAGAACACAGTCAGCTAACAGATGATATATCAAACCTCCAAAAGCTACGTTGAGACTTTGAGGGGTCTGCTCTGGCCTTGGTTCTTTTTCAGTTATACAATCCTGCAAATGTGGCATTGCTACTTTTGATTAATTGATTTTTGCTAATGCAAGTTTTTCACCAAAGTATAGGCACAAGCACCCAATGTGATACACACACACCCGCATGCACGCACACACACACAGATATTGCCTATTTCAGATTTATTTCATGATAAACACACTCCATGCTGTTTGATGTTGTTAGCTTGAATAACTTATAAAGAAAATAAACAATGGGTGGTGTTAACCATCTGGGGCCTGTGTTGAGGTTGCATGGGTCCCCTCTCTGTACTTGGTCCCACAGTCCAAAGACATGGTCATTATGTTTACTAATAACTCTGTCCTGTGATGGATGTTATTCCCATTTGACGAAATGCAAATATTGGTTATATAATGTTATGTTATATTAGAAAATACATTTGTACACTGAGGAAGGTGGAGACTGTTCTAAAGAACATTGATCACCCATTCCACTATACCCTGATGGACCAAAGGGCCAGTGGTGGTGGACGCCTCCTCTCTCTTCGCTGCAGGACAGAAAGATCCAGAAGATTTTTTGTACTAACAGCCATCAGACTTTATAACTCTTATGTAAATAGTAGATAACTTTTTGACACATGACAACTGAGACTACAGACAATTGAATTTCCCTTTGGGGGTAAAAAGTATTTAAAGTCACAGAGTAACAAGAATACAGTTGTATCAGAATTATTTTCCTACAAGCACAAAGTAATGGTAATAGCAAATACAAAATTCAGTGGCATAATAACATTACAAAATGAAGGGTCTTCATGTCAGGAAAGTAAGTAAATATGTAACTAGAATAAAGCCTATCGTCATGAGAAAAAATAGTAATGTCAACAGAGCAAGCTGTTAATGTTTCAGGAAAGTCATTCAGTTACATTACAATTTACATTACTTTCATGAGAACATGGTCATTGTGTTCAATCACAGAATTAAAGAGGATTTCTTAGGTTAAGTGATCAAAATTAGCATGTTTTACTTCAAGATTAAAATTGTTTTGTTAGTTTTAAAATACACTTGTGGTGCAACTTAAGACACATCATCAGTGTTGGCACCTGGGTTCACTGGGTGTTTCGGGTCTTGCAACAGACACCCTCGCCCAGGGGACCCAGCCGGGGTGATCAAGTCCCGGCTTGTGTCTTAAGAGCATGTGACCACGGATCACCCCGCTTGATCCACAGCCATCTGGACGCCTTCTCTGCTGCGTCACAGATGTTCTTAATGGCTCGCCTGTTGTGCAGTCCCCCCATTCCCAGCATCTTGAGAGCCCTGATGAGGGACTGGCCAGCGAATCCTCTGCATCCGACCTCGATGGGGTTGCACCGGGTCCTCCATCCCCTGCTTCGGCATTCACTTGCCAGCTCCTCATACTTGGCTTTCTTTCTCTCAAAGGCCTCCTCCATCCTGTCTTCCCAGGGAACAGTCAACTCCAGCAGGACCACTTGCCTTGTTGTTTCAGACACCAGGACCATGTCTGGCCTGAGCGTGGTCACTGCGATGTTCTCCGGGAATTTGAGCTGTCTCCCTAGGTCGACTTTCAGCTGCCAGTCCCGGGCTGTTGCCAGCAGCCCCCCTGCTTGCCTCCTGAGCTGCTGCGGCTTCTCCCCAGCCTTAATGAAGGCGATGGTCTGCCTTGATGGTTGTATGTGTTTGCTGGTGGAGATGCCTGTGCTGATGGCCTCCGCAATGACCCGTAGCACTTGGTCATGGCGCCAGCGGTAGCGCCCCTCTCCCAGTGCTCTTGGGCAGCAGCTCAAGATGTGTTCCAGTGATCCTGCTCTTTGGCAGAGAGGGCACAGTGGGTTCTCAGCCAAGCCCCAGCGGTGGAGGTTGGATGGGCTTGGGAGGACATCGTAGACCGACTGGATGAGGAACTTGATCCGGTGAGGCTCAGATCGCCATAGCTCTGACCACGACACCTTCCGGGCAGCTGCCTCCTCCCAACGGGTCCACGCCCCCTGCTGCCGCATCCCCACTGTCTTGCTGCAGCGGGCCTCCTCCACCCCTGCTCGGACCTCCTGCTGGATCAGCTGACGCCTTTCCTTCCCCTTGGCCTTGTTATACGAAGGTCTCGGGTTGCTCCCAAGTCCTGCCCGTCCGGATGCCACTGTTCCCACCAGCTCACTGTGCCGCAAGCGGGACTCAGCCTGATCGACTGCCTCTTGGGCACACCACTTCCTGCCGGTCCTCACTTCTACACCAGCCGAGGAGACTTTGATGTCACTTGAGTCCCTATACAGCAGCACCTCTCTTGCACGGGTAACCATAAACTCCTCCGTCAGACTGCTGAAGGGTAGGTTAAGTTTGTTGCTCTTCCCGTACAATGCGATGCTGCTGAGGCTTCGTGGTAGGCCCAGCCACTTCCGCAAGAAAGAGCTGACCTTCCTCTCGAAGCACTCGACGGTGGTCACAGGCACATTGTAAACCAGCAGTGGCCAGATAAGTCGAGGTAGAATGCCATGTTGGTAAATCCAGGCTTTGTTACAATAATTTATCAGAATAAAGTTGGTTTGTTGTGTCGAAACTTCATCTTATTTATGTTGTTATATAACAGGAATAAAATCATCATGTTACAGGAATAAAGCTGTCATGTTGAGTTAAATGCTAAAATAGTTAAAATACAAAACAAGATTTAATTTGTTATGTAGTGAGATTTAAATCATTGTGTTTTTACACAAGATTTCACTCATAAAGTTAAGAGAGAGAAGTCGCTGTACAAGACTAACGTTGTCATGTTACGTTATGAGAATCAAGTTTCCATGTCAGTATGTTTCAAGATTTAAGTTATGTTTCAGGATTTTAGTTGTTATGCAAAGAGAATAAAGATGACATGTTACGTTATGAGAATTAAATCCTCATGTTGTTCTATTACAAGATTTTAATGTTTAAGACGTTAATTTATGCGATTCAAGTCAGTTACTTGCAGAAGGTGTTTCATTACTAGAATTAAATCATACTTAGTTCCCAAATCAGTCATTATCTTAAGAGATTTTAGCAGTCATGTGGTGCAATTTATGTCATTTTGTTATGGAATTGTAGTTGTTATGCAACAAGCATTAAGTTAATATATTACATTATAAGAATAAAATCATTATGTTATGTTAATAATAAAGTCATCATGGTGAGAGACTGAAGTCATTATAAACAAAAAAGTTTGTTACATTACAAGATTAAAAATGTTACATTATGAGATCTAAGTTGTTCGACACCAAATACCGTAAAGTACTGTTAACCCAGCTTGTGCACATTTCACTCTTTTGATTTAAGTCTCAGAGTCATCTTGATGTTTTGACACTGATTGTTGCAGTCAGATGAGGTTTAAATTAGCTCTGAGTTTCTCATATTGATTTACTGGTTTAGAAATTTTGTTTTGTTTTTATTTCAGAGACAGTAAAGACCAACTCCATCTCACATAAGTATGGATGCACGAACACACACCTTTGAATAGTGGCGTATGAGTTGAACACAGAACATATAAAGTCAGAGATTTCCTGAAGTTCTGCTGATGGTGTGTGTCTCTCTGGGTTACCTGAGGTGAGTACAGCCGGCTCATACCTGCACGCATATGTCTCAGCATGGCACAGGTGACACAAACAGCTGAGTCTGTGTCAATGTTAGACCCTTACTTGATGTCAGTCTTTTTATAGTGATTGTTAGTTAATTTAAAAGGTCATTTTTACTCGTGTTTTTATTGATATTATTACTGATGATCAACTGGATTGTTTACGTTCATCAAACATCACACAGGGTGTTTGAGATGAATTGGTGAATAACTACTAAAGAATATTTGGTTGCATTTAGAAGTAACAGTTTTTAGTTTTTATGTTTTAATGATCAAACTGCAATAACATAAGTCTGAATGCATTTCTATCAATTCTATTGAGAGAAAAATCATCTTATTTTCTTTTTCAGCTTGGTTCATTGAATTGAATTGTAAAGACTTTCTTTTGAAAGCTGACTCTGTAGTTTCTTAGGATAAACTTAAAACAGCAGATGTTTGACTAGTTTCAAAGCTGTTGAAATTATAATTAAGTAATTTGTCAAAGTACCTTGTTCATTTTCATCTTGATTGACTAAAACAAGTGTCCTGACATGTAAGTTTTCTATCTGTCTATATGAGCAGGATGATCTGCTGAATGTAAACATTAAAACATATTTTAGTCTAAGGAGTTTCGATAATTTTAGTCACATTTATGAAGCTGTGTTGTTTAATACTTTGTTACAAATGATCATCAATATTCAACCTCAAAAGGAGGTCTTAAGTCTGCCATAGTAAAGCTTCTACTGTTCCTCATTAGGAAAACACAGATATTCACTGTTATCAGAGTTGAACTAATAACTTCAGTGTTATGATAGAATACTTAAGTGCTGCATGATTGCTTCATCACTAAAACATTCAGAGAAACTTTTCTCAGACATATTTGTCTACATGACGATTTACTATAACAACATTTATCAGTGAGACCCAACACCCTCACCTCAGTTAAAAAGATAAAGCAGTTATCATGAGCAGTTAACCACTAACAAGTAGGGATGAGCAAAACTAGATGTACACTTTTTGGTGTGGTTATACTAACACCAGTACTGATACTAATTGCTACTAAGCAGAAATAATGTTTGAAAAAATATCATTAGGCACTAAAAATGAATCCCATGAAAAAGACAGGGCCCACCTCCTTAAAGAAACTAAAATGTTTTTCTTTTAAACATTCACATGTACATTTTTTACACTGAGGTGTGGCTTTGTGTGTTTGTACTGATGATTTTACACCGATGAAGTTTCTAGCAGATAAATAAGCTTCTTTTGTTTTGATACAATTAAAATATGCTAATATAGTGCAGTTAACATGCATGTGCAACAGGCCTGGTAAAAATAGTAATCAGCATTTGTTGGCATGGTGAATTTGGCTCAACAGCACTCTCTGGGGAATTTTAAGTGTGCAGCTCCTCAGGCCAGTTTTGCCAAGAAAATTTTAATTTGTGATATATCAGGTTTAGGGTGCATTATCTAACTGGGACCCCAAAACACAAAGTTCTTGATGCAAGTTGAATTTATTTATTGAAAAATCACAGTGTGCAAAGATAGTAATCACCTATGCTATGAAAAGTAGAGACTTTTGCACCAGATCTTGCTGTAGTCCCACATGAAAGTGATGCATGACATATTACGGTCCTTCTTAACTCAAGTACAGAGGTGATGTAAAATGGTCATGAGCCTCTGCTGCTTCATTTTGTAAGGTTAATGTGTTGCATTCAGCAGTTCTAACGATGTAACTTCACTAATATTTTGTATTTTTTTCTCAGAAGTGTCTTTGTCTTTCGAGAGATGAACGTCTCATCAGCCAATGTGACAGTGTTTGTCCGAACTAGGGACTCCTTCACTGAAGCTGTCACTAAAAATGTCATCGTCATTGTTTTCGGGATTTTCATCAACTACATCAATGCCTGCCTTTTCCACACCTTCAGAAAACACCAGGTATAATATTCCCTACAGGTATTGAGAAGAAATAATTCTTTTAGAAGAGATTTTCATCTTAAAACCCTACAGGCCTTTTTTCTCATGGAGGGTAAAGTTTTATAGAAAGTTTTATAAAATGACCAGATTATAGGATCCAGATCATCTGCAACAATCATCCTGAATGTGAAAGAAAAACTTTTCAATGGAAGTCTGAGAGAAGTATTATAAAGCAAGGCTTAGAGGGAAAATCATATCAGTTGAATTCAAAGTCAGAGTTTTCAGAGTCATAAAGATGTCCATATTTTGACCAAGCAAGGTCATCATGTTAACCTGCATATCAAAACAAACAAAGTCAGGACCAGGTCGTGTTTCAAGTTTCAGCTCTAAATGGACTGGTAAGTAATTATCACCTTGTTGGTACCCCCCTGTGGTCAGTTTGAATCTTTAGTCACAAAAATAAAAAAAGTGCAGAGAAAAAGCTGAAACTGTGATGTTTCATTAAAGAAGCTAGAATACGAACATGCACAGTTTCATTAACTCATAATATATGAATTCCTTCACAGCAACAAAGTTACTCTGTCTGTGCTTGTAGGTCAATTTGTGACATCCAGCTTTGTATCCAACTGCAAACAAACAACATGAAATTACACAACCAGAAAAGAAAAGATGAAAACACACAAAAACATGAGTGCTCTCTCTGGTACATAAACAGATATGCGTGTAGTTAAGTATAGTATAGTATGGTATAGTACATTGTGTACACACCTACTAGGGGTGGAGCCGAATGCGATATTCTGAAAGGCACAATTAAGGTTTTTTTAAAAAAATGTATTTCAAACAAATACTTTTATATTATATAAACATTTATATTCGAGAATCAAAAAAAACACAATATCAAAAAGCTGCGTTTCCTCATGAGACCGCCGTGTATGCCGAAATGAGTGAGCGAGTGACGTTTAGGAGTCAGGGGAGGGGAGAGCGTAAAAAAAAAACTGACACAGGCTGCACAACACAGCAACAAAGAAGGCTCGGCTGAGTGAAACAAAACTCTCTTGTTCAAACTCCGCTTTCCAAAAGTTATAAACTGCCTCCAGAACCCAGCTAAGGTACAAAAATCTATTCAAAAAGTGATGCAGTTAAAGGGACATTCTGGCGTAAAATTTATTTAAGGTCAAACACACCATAACACCGAGTTAGACACCCCCTCGAGAGATGAATGTTGCCGACTGCTTGCTTCTTTAGTTATACCAACTTCAGTAACGACCGCATGATAGCAATACAGAGAGCCACGCGCTCAACCAAAAAGCCACTCTAAAGCCACAAAAAATGCTCAGAACAGCACCTTACTTCATCAACAGTACATATAGAGTCCCAGCCATTGCACTAGCCATCAAACATCTTTTTAGCTTTGCCTGATTTCTTCAGCAAAGAGACCCAACACAACTCACACACTCTCCTCCAGCAGCCGCTTGTTTGTGAGGGGAGCCCGGACAGTCCATCACAGAATGCATGGGAGTTTTGTAGCTCAAGGAAGAATATTTATGATCATTACTTAATGGAAATACAATCAGAATTCTTGTGTATCTTGTACGATAGTTAATGACTGTTATTATTATTTGATGGCTAGTGCTATGGCTGGGACTGAATATGTACTGTTGATGAAGTTAGGTGCTGTTCTAAACGTTATTTGTGGCTATAGAGTGGCTTTTTAGTTGAGGTTTGCGCATGGAGATGTAGACCGCTGTGTATTGCTAATGTGCGGTAGTTACTAAAGTTGGTTTAACTAGAGAAGCAAACAGTCGGCAACATTCATCTCTCAAGGGGGTGTCCAACTTGTGTGTTTGACCCTAAATTAATCTTATGCTGGAATATCCCTTTAACTGCATCACTATTTTGTTTAATAGATTTTTGTGGGTTCTGGAGGCAGTTTATAACTTTTGGGAAGAGGAGTTTGCCGGGAGATTATTCCATAACATTACATTATTGTTGATGTCTGCAGAGAGTTGACAATAGCAGTATTATTTGTTTTTATTCTGTCTGTTCAGTGTCCTTTGACAAGGATGGGTGGTGGTGGGGTTTATGATGTTCACAATGGTAGTTTTTTAATTGTTGATTTAACCATAGATGAGGTAATGGCTGTTCTGTTATTTTTTTTTCAATGTTCCTTGTTGGATTGCTGGTTCATTTGCACACCCCTAACACCTACCGAGCATAATACAAATGTCAGTTTGCTTATTTTGGGCTCTATTTTTGTGCTTCACCGGAGACGTGGTGCAGGAGCAGCTTATGTCAGGTCCGCTGCGCCGACAAGGCGTTCCCAAGCACAATTTGGTATTTTGGTGAGCGGCGCAGCCCAGCGTAAGTATCCCCCCTCCCTAACTCAGCACCTACCAGCGGCGTCAGTCGTAGTGAGGGAGGAGAGAGGGCGTGGAGTGGCTTTAACACAGTCGAGACCTGTATTGACCAATAACATCAGCTCCTCTCCTCGCCTTTAAATCCGTCACTAGCGAGGTGTATTACTATTTTCGTTTAGTAGTCAAAGAGATCAAGAGATGTCTAAAGACAGCAATGCCACATGATGGCGACAGAAGGCAGCCCCTCAACAAGTGTCACTGTAAGCGCTGCAGATGGCGGCCTTCAAACACCCTTTCAACAAATAAAGACACTCACATAAAGTTGCACATATTCAAACCTCATGTGAAAAAGGTGGGTTGTGCGCAGAGATCACATCATAAATTCCAATAATGGCATTAAAATCGGAACCATCTGTGCATTAATTACGCATCACGCTCCGTGGCCGTGCTCTTTCTTTCATAGATGTTGACGAATTACATATCGTGTTAACTTCATCATGTGTGTCTATTTACTAGATATTTAAATTAATTTAATGTGGTTTCAGCTGTGTTAATTCGGTCAGGTTGTGTGTCCAAACACGCTCATCAGATCATATATAGTTCAGGATATATCTATATTGATCTAAATGTATGTGCTGACTCAGATTATTAGTTGTTGATTATTCAACACCTCCCTCTGCCACGCCACCACGCCCAGCTTGGCGGACCTCGGTGCGCCTCAGTCCACGAAAATACCAAACTGGCTGTACGCCGGGCTCCGCCAGACGAAATTACCACTGCGCGGGGTCCGCCACCCTCTGCCGCCTCACCGACGGACACGAAAATAGAGCCCTTGGTGTCATGTAGTGGATCAGAATCTTTTTTGTCTCCTTGCTGTTAAACTAGAATTTGCTGAACATGACTGAGAGTAAATTTTCAAAAAGTGACCTCAATGGTCTGGGCCGACAACCAAGCAGCAACCTCTGCCGATGCAGAAGTGCTAAAACCTGCAGTTCCCTGAGTGACCACTTGAGGCTGTCTGCAGAAGCATATGTGTAAATGTCATTTATATGTTAGCAGAGCAAAAGAAAATTTATATATATATATATATATATATATATATACTGTATATATATATATATATATTTAAATAAACTGTACACATATATATATATATATATATCGACCACGTCTCCGGTGAAGCACAAAAACAGAGCCCAAAATAAGCAAACTGACATTTGTACTATGCTCGGGGTATATATATATATATATATATATATATATATATATATATATATAAAACTGTTTTGGTCTGAAAAGCTGAGTATCCACTTTACCCACTGTACAGGGATTGCATTTTCTGTAAGTTATGTTCTTGTTTGCTTTGAAAATATTAAAGTGGAATTTTGGCATATTTTAACATAGGCTGTAGCTGTTTGCAAGGCTAAAGGCCCCCCTCTGGTAGGCTGAGTCTGCATTACCAATATGGTGGCTTCCAACAAACAAATGATTGACACTTCAGACATTATGTCAAGTTATTGAGCAGTCCATGGTCAGAAATTAACCAAACCAAAAGTTTTTAAAAAATGTAAAAAAAAAAAAATTTTTTAAATAAAAAAAGGCTCCCTACTGAGTACACACAAGTGCACACACTAAAGAAATGCCTTCCAGACCACCTCTATATGTAAAACTGACGAATAGATCCAAGCAGGCATTCATACCTGGAATAATATACTTGTAAGTAGATCACGCAGAAATAATTTAATGGAACTAAGTGCCAACAGGGTCTGAGTTGAAAAAAAAAACAAATGGACATGATAAACCTTTGAATAATCAAGCCTGAAGAGATTGTCTGACATGTTTTGTGGTTCTTCTCTTCAGATCTTCTACAGGAACCCACGGTACATCCTGTTTTTCCACCTGGTGGTCAATGACACGATCCAGGTGACAACCACAATCGTCATATTCCACCTCAGCTACATCATCTACACAATGAGCGTCCCGATCTGTTGCACTTTAATGCTGCTGACCATTCTTGCCACTGAGAACACCCCTCTGAACCTGGCCTGTATGGCAATTGAGTGCTACATCTCCGTCTGCATGCCACTTCGCCATGTGCAGATATGCACTATTAAAAGAACGCTGCTGCTGATTGGTTTAATCTGGACTCTAAACACATTGTCTACTTTTCCTAACCTCTTATTCACTGTTGCGACAGAACCACCAGAATTCTTCAGCTCAAGAGTCCCCTGTTTTAGGACCAAAGTATTTCCTAGTCCTGTTCTCCTGTTAAAGAGGGACATCATGCATTCATTGTTACTCATCATAGTTTGGATCACCATCTTCTTTGCTTACTTCAAGATCCTCTTCACTGCAAAAAGTGTAAGCAAAGATGCTAAAAAAGCCAAAAACACCATCTTGCTGCATGGTTTTCAGGTGCTGCTCTGTATGTCCACATATGTAGGCCCTTCATTACTAAAGCTTCTGAGACAGTGGTTCCCTCAGGATTACACGCACCACCTTTTTGCATTTTATATTATAGTGCAGATCCTGCCCAGATCCATCAGTCCAGTTATCTATGGTGTACGGGACAACACATTCAGGAGGTACCTCAAAAGATATCTGTTCTGTGGTGTCAATTCAATTCAAAGCTTTCAATAAAAAGATATGTGGGAAAAAGAGAAAAACATCTCTTACTGTCTTCTAAATGAAGTCAACGTGTAAAATTATAAACTTGTTTGTATCTTATAAAGTCTCATTGGCAGGTTATTTACTATCAAATGCTGCTTTCTACCAGATCTATGTAAAGTGTTACCAAATGTTTATTTGTTTTCCCTTATTCTGTGTTAAATCAAAATTTAAACTTTATGTTGTACAGTGTTGCATCTCCAAACATTAACAGTAGTTTCCTGATTCGTCATTTCTAACAACTGAGTGTTTAAAAGATGTATCGTTTCTCATTAGGGAATCATTTAAAGGCTCACAGCCTATGTACCTAGCATTAAGCGCACAGGATGTTTATTAATGCTAAGACCTTATAAAGGTTAGATATATATTAGATCCACAATTACTATAAGCTTGTAACACAGGCTTAATACAGCAATTGAGCCCTGTTAAGAAAGTAAAAAACTAATTCAAGGAAAAAGAGCTTTTTTTTGGGGGGGGGGGGGGGGGGGGTCACGTGTCCCCCCCACAAATGTATCGCTACATTTTGACAATAAAGTCATTGGGCTCTATTTTGGTGCCTCGCCGAAGACGTGCCACAAGCGCAGCGTCAATCAGATCCGCCGCGCTGACAAGGCGTTCCCAAGCACATTTTGGTATTTTGGTGAGCCGCGCAGCCCGGCATAAGTATCCCCCCTCCCTAACTCAGCTCCTCCCAGCACCATAAGTCGTAGACAGGGAGGAGAGAGGGCGTGGAGTGTGTTTAACACAGCCGAGACCTGTTTTCACCAATCACATAAGCTCCTCTCCTTGCCTTTAAATCCGCCACCGGCGAGGCGTATTACTATTTTCATGAAGTAGTCAAAGAGATCAAGAGATGTCTGAAGACAGTTATGCCACACGATGGCGACAGAGGGCAGCTGCTCAACAAGTGTCCTCCACACTCTCTCATCTGAGCACAGATGGATTTGGTGTGCGTAATGTTGGACCCACTGGTAAGACAAACACCCTTTTCCACAAATAAAGACACTCACATAAAGTTGCATATATTCAAACCTCACGTGACAAAGGTGGGTTTAGCGCACAGATCACAACATAAACTCCAAAAATGGCATTAAAATCGGAACCATCTGTGCGTAAATGACGCATTGCGCTCCGTGGCCTGGCTCTTTCTTTCATAGATGTTGGCATATAAAATAAATTTGGCCCACAAAACTGAATATTATAATATCCGCATGTCGGCTTAAAGTAGATAACGCATCTGAGCACTGAAACAAATCATCTGTTCAGCCGCAGCAGCAGTAGCAGGAGACGGACAGAGGACACGGAGACGTGTCCAGGTCGAGCTGTGCGAGAAATAAGAGGAAGAAAGAAAAGGAGGGAGACACATTACATATCTTGTTAACTTCATCATGTGTGTTTATTTACTAGATATTTAATTTAATTTGATGCAGTTTCAGCTGTATTGATTCGGTCAGGTTGTGTGCCCAAACGCGTGCCAAACGCGTGCCAAACGCGCTCATCAGATCAGATATAGATCAGAATATATCGATATAGATCTAAATGTATGTGCTGACTCAGATTAATAGTTGTTGATGATTATTTATTGCACTGAAATCTGCCTGACACTGTGGAAACCTGCCGGTGAGGCATCGGTGACGTCTGTCCATACACCGCCGGTCTACCAAAATACTACTAGATCAGCTGCGTTCCGCCTTGTGCTGAAAGCTGACCAGGTTTGAATCGGCGAGCTTTCAGCGCACGTTACACGCCAGTGGCGAGCACGAAAATGTCACTGCGTCAGCTGATTCTGTCAACACCTCCCCCTGCCACGCCACCACGTCCAGCTTGGCGGATCTCGGCTCGCCTCCGTGCGACTCAGTCCACGAAAATACCAAACTCGCCTTACGCCGGGCTCCGCCAGACGAAAATACAACTGCGCGGGGCTCGCCGCCCTCCGCCGCCTCACCGGCGCGAACGAAAATAGAGCCCATAATGAGAATAAAATTATATTTTGACAATTCAGTCATAATGTTGATGAAATTGTTTAATTAGAGGAAAGTACAAATGTTTTGTGAATGAAGTCATTTTGAGAATAAAGTTATTTCAGAATAAGAAAATGTCACTAAATTTTGAGAATAAATTCATTTTTTATGGGGATAAAGTTGATTTAAGAATGAACTAATTTCAAGAATAAAGTTGACACGAGTATGATGTCATGTTTTTGGAATAAAGTCAATATGAAGATAAGACAAGACGAACTTTATTGATCATCAAAGAGAAATTCAATGAAAATATTAAAGTCAATTTCAGACTATCATCTGTGAGATTAAGTCATTATATTAATAGGATAATGTGGATTTGAGAAAAAAGTTTACTTTGGAATAGAGTCTCTAAATTATAAGAAGAAAGTTTGATTGGAGAAAAAAAATGCATTTTAGAGGAAAGTTGTACCAAAGCTGAGAACAAAGTGCTTTGTTTTGCATTTTTGGGTACAAAATTGTTTGTGTAATAGAGTTTTGTTTTGGGAATAAAGTAGTCATACTGTGGGACCCAAATTGTTATTTTATAAGAACAGATTCAAATTTATTCTTCTGACATAAAGACTTTGTTTTTCATTTTAAAATTTACTTCAACTAGTTTCTTAATATTTTGACTTCACTACCTGTAAATTCTTGATCCTCATACTCTTTGACACTTGGGAACTTAGTCAATACTTTGTTACAAGAACAAACTTTTATTCCCATATCTAAAATTGTATGCTCCCTTACAAGCACTTATTGGAGCTTTGTTATTTATCACAAAGACTTTTTCATTTTCATATTACTAACTGACGGCTGATCCATCCTGACTGTAGACTGTTAATACAGTCTATGGTCATGACACATAATCTCAATAACACAGTGATGTCATGTCTGACATTGTGCTCTATATAAAGCCATTGAACAATTTCAGACTTACTCAGTAGCTGCTGACAGTGGAGGCTGAACGGTTCCAGGTAGAACAGTGTTTGTTCTCTCTCATTCGTGTTACATTTTATTAAACTTGTTGCAGTCAATACAAAGTTAATCTGCATGTTGCTCTCAATAAAAGCATTGAATTTACTTTAAGAGGTGGTTATGGCTTGAACAATTCACCACTTAGTAAGCACATTATATTACTAGTTTTATTTTGATATCAGCTCAGATTAAAACCTAATTGAATCCTAGAAAAATGATGAGTTCTTATAACTTTCAGTGACTCTGTAACTCATTCTCAATGTCTTTTTGTCACACAGATGTGCAGGATCTTCAAATTGATTTCATGAATTTCTCCTCTCCTCTGGGGTATCGAGACTCTTACAGCACAGCTGTGGCCAAAAATGTGATTGTTGTGGCTTTCGGTCTCACAATCTGCTACATTAATGGTACCCTGATCCACACCTTCAGGAAACATGAGGTCAGATTCTTTCCTCTTTAAATGATTACTTCTTAACCAACACTTAATTTCTGCAGTTGTCGGTAGTGTTTTAGGTGCAAGGCTGTTTGAAGGCTGAGCTGGTGTTCATCTGGGGGTGTCTGAATTTAGCAGATGTATTTACAAGGATTCACAGCTGTGGAAGATAATATGTGATTTCCTGTCCTTTTTCTTGTCTTATGAGCTTACATGGTACACAAGCAACCCTCTCTTTCTCTCTCTCTCTCTCGATTAAACACTGTCATTTTTCTGATGGCTTTAGCTTCAGTGCATGTGTGCATCAAATTAGAAAGAAAAAATAGTCTTCTAGTTGACCTTTACAAAAACTGACCTTTCAGGTTCATTCAGATAATTTTGAGTCTATATCATTTGTTTCTTAGCCTTTAATGATAGGCTCTTGATCTTTATTTAAAGTGTCCTTCAGGTTCTCATGTTGTCTGAGTTAATGTTGGCTGACTCCTTCACGGGTTTCTTGGGGGTTTGTCTCTTTACTCTATTATGTTTCTTTGTAAATCCCTGTTTTTTATTGGTGCTTTATAAATAAACACTGGGTGCATGCAACAAAACATAATCTATCCTACAAAAGCTGCAACCTGATTGCTGTTTCTGTTCTTTCAGATCTTTAACATGAATCCACGTTTTATCTTTTTTATCCACCTGGTGGTGAATGACATAATCCAGCTGCTGACCAGTATCACCCTCTTCATCTTAACGTACACACTCTACTACATCCAAGTCCCCATCTGCTGTCTCCTCATCGTCCCTGCTGTCATTGCCACACAAAACACTCCTCTGAATCTGACTTTTATGGCAGCAGAGTGCTACATCGCTGTCTGCCTCCCCCTTCACCACAGCCAGATCTGCACAATCAAGAAAACCTACATTGCAATCGGCCTGATCTGGACGATTAGCTCTTTTTCCATCCTGCCTGATGTCTTCATCTTTTTGGCCACAGAGTCCCTGGAGTTCATGGAGTCAAAAATTTTCTGCAAAAGAGACTCAATGTTCAGGAGCATGTACAGCATAAAAAAGCGGGATGCATCTCACATTTTGTTTATGGTTATTGTTTGGCTCACTCTTGTCTACACGTACTTCAGGATTTTGTTTGTGGCCAAAGCTGCAGATACAGAGGCCAGGAAGGCCAGAAACACAATCCTCATTCATGTTTTTCAGGTGCTGTTGTGCAATATGGTTTATCTGGGTCCTGTAATAATTTCAGTCTTTGTTCACTTCTTCCCTAGGTATTATACAACCACAACATTTTTAATATACATTTTACTCCAAATCCTCCCTCGCTGTATAAATCCGGTTGTGTATGGATTGCGAGACAAGACGTTCAGGAAGTACTTCAAAAGGTATCTGTGTTCAGGAACCTGACCTGGCTAACAGGCCTCAGAAAAATAAATTCCTCTTCATGCAGTGGTTTTGAGCTGACTTTAATTGTGCATAGATCAAGGGATATTTCAATATTTTTAAAGTGGGGTTGTATGATTCAATACTAGTACACGTGTTTTAGCCACAATAGATGCCAATCAGCTTGGCCCCTTTAATGAGGAACTGCCAGGAGAACCAGCACACAAGCTAAACTACAGTTTTTAACAGACACAGTTGACACAGTTAAATATTTAACTGATTTTGACAGACTCTGACTGAAGCACTCATACTAAGTTAGATATATGCTCTTCCAAGAAATTTTCAGTGCTTTATCACACAATCACGTTCCTCTCCATGCAGTGTGATCAGCTAATCAGGTCTTTGATATGCAAGTTACTGATGAAGGATGAGTTTCGATATTTTTTTAATATATAATTTATATATTGCTGCATTTTAGTTTTGCAAGATGTGAAACACCAAATACCCAAGACCATCTTGTTGTTTGTTCATTATTAAGCTCAGACTTTCTCTTCAGCAGCTAACACAGTGTATTTTTAATCAGGTAAACATGGTGATGGTTGCAACCTTAATGCGAACTGCTGGTTCATTTTGATTCCCAAAGATTCAGAGGAGCTGTAGTTTGCAAGTCTCACTCCTGACACACAGTAGTTTTCTCTATTTATGGGTGTTAGCACACAGTTTACTCATCTCAACTCAACTCAAACTTTATTTATAGCACTTTAAAAACAACCGAAGCTGACCAAAGTGCTGTACAGGTCAATAAGACACAGCGAAATACATAAAACAGACAGTAAACAATATGATCAAAAACACAGAATACAAGATTAAAATACAGCAAAGTAAAATTCAGGTACAAATACACCATAAATAAAAACAAATATAAAATACGTAGGTAGATAAAAAACAAATATAAAATACCAATCAAGAGCTAGGTAAAAGCTAGGGAGAAAAAGTGTGTTTTTAAAGACCTGAACCAGCAGGTAACCTGAGATCTTTCTTGCCCTACACTTTTTTTGCCCTACAAAAAAATTTCCCCTTTTCTTTGATGCAGGGAGTCACATTTTTTACTCACAGCTGACCAGTGCCCTGCATGCAGAGATGTGTATGCAAAGTGCACAAATACAAGATTATTAGCCAACATGGGCAGATGTTTCAAGGTGTTCTGGCTGCCTATGGTGGGTCAGCTCCTGGATCCAGTTCAAGGGAGGTCTTCAGCTTGGCATATTATGACCAGTAATACCCCTTACAGTCCCCAGGAACAATATGTTTACCTGTATAGCAGAGGAAAAAACAACCAAACTGGAACTCCAGAAGAACACAACTGCTTCACGTTTACCATGCCAATTGCAACAGGTATTGCTGCTCCCTTGTTCATTACACCAATCGCTATCAGGATGCCAGAGCTGGAGCTTGCCAACAGACAAGGCAGGCAATTGCTTGGGGCCCCCTAGTGGCTTGGGCTGACGGACCTTACTCCACAAAAATGTCCTAGAATATTGCAACCCCATTCAACAACCAGTGGTCAAATTGCAATGACATCTCAGATGGATAGCCGCCTAAAGGGGCCCTTTGTCATCCCTGTCGCACTGCTTTGGGACTTACGTCCATCTTTACTGAAGTGTGTCAAAGTGACAAAATCAGCCATGAAGTGGAGCTACATATCAGGGAGTGAGAAAAGAAAAAGAAGTAAAGACAAAGAAATAAGGAGAAAGCAAGACAGTGGTAAATGGAACAGATAGCGAAGTTTGGCAAACACTTAAACTAGCATTAGGTGTAAGGCTGGCTGTTAATTGTTTGATTGTTAGATAGCAGAGCGGAAGACGTTAGCCTGGGGTTCCTGCTTTGTTGACTCACTGTTACCGTGTGTTGACACACCCACACTGTCTTGCTAGGTTAGCCGACAGAGAGAAAATGCGCTTGTAAGGCACAATACTGAAATTCCACCAAAGTAACTAGAACATAGTAAGGGAGTGATTTGAGCAGGAAAAACAGCTAACCCAGACAACAGCTTTCAATGTTAATGAAACTCTATTAATGAAATTTGAGTCTTAACCAGCTTAACTCTTACACTACTGACGCTTTGAAATTTAGATCTAAATTTAGACAGTATGCTTTCTGCATGAAATACTATCAACTTTGGAGCATAACATACTGAAGTAAGTATCAGACATCAAACCTTGGAGCAGAGGTGAGGTGCTTGCTACTGTGGTAAAAACATACCAGAGCTGTCGCTATTTTAGAGCAATATTTTCAAGTTATGTAGTAATAATATTAATTGGTTTGAGTTTCAGTTTCTGATCCTCTGTGTTGGTTTCAGACAAGTGATATGTTTAAAGGTCCTTACACACTAGGGCTGACACGAATATGGAACGTGAAATCCCGAAATTTTCGGAGGCGAATTTTGTCGCGCCTGACTATACACATCAAGGTGGAAGTGAGGGGACATAAATGGAGTCTACCTCAACTTCAAGTGATGGCAAATTGGTACTCCTTTTGCTTTCTCAAAAGAAAAAGAAACGTAGCACATGGGTGCATCCAATATTAAAAAAAAGAAGAGAACTTGGTGAGTTTCACTTCTTGGTTCAGGAGCTGAAACTGTACCACGGTCGCTGATTGTTTTCAGTTCTGCTTAGACACTAGTGTTGAGATGGCTGTCTGTCATGATAGCATGTACTGAGTCGGGGCCAGTACCAGATAAGCACATTAGACTAAGGTAACAACCGTTAGCTTACGTTAGCACAGATGAAAGTTAAAACAAAGACGTTTAGCAAACTGTTAAAGCACACAAACCATCTTCATATGAGAGATCCGATGGTAACCCTCCACAAGTTGTCCTTCAGGCCGTTATCTTTGTAATATTTGTGTCTTTTATCAAAATGCACTCTGTTTCTGACACGTAAACAATCAGATGGTCGGATATGTTGGATATACCAGTGAATCTGACGTCGCAACAACACGCAATCTGATTGGTCAAAGGTGGACACACAGTCTGCGAAACTTTGGAAAAATCGACCATGATCCGAAAAAATAAATGCCGCAATATCGCAAAACAGGAAAACGTCACTGATGTGAACGCTTGTATTGACAGGATACGGGTTCTAAAAAAAATATTGACGTTCGAAATAAGCGCACGACAAAAAAGGTCCCAGTGTGAAAGGACCTTAATGCTCGTCAGAGGGGCCCCTTGAGAATTTCTGCTTGGAGCCCCAGCACACTCTAGAATTGGCTCTGCAGGACGCAAATGATCATTGATTTCAGATTTTCAACTCTCATGTATAATGGGCTCAATTTGTGCTGCCTGACAAGACTTAATGTATGATCTCATCATTACGAGTGAATTTGCATGTAATTCACGCATGTGGCCTGCCTTAAGCTCTCTCTGCTGTGTTGTGTCATAGACCAGGAAATATTCTCTTTTGGCATTTATTCTGCAACAACAGAAAATTTTATCTCTCACAGCCAGTTCAGTGGTAACCTCACAGAGCTTTCCATTGTTTTAGCTAGCAAATATTACAATGTGACAAACTCAAATAAATTAATAAATTGTTACAGACTTGTCTTGTTTTGAACACAGACATTTTCTCAAACTTAGATAAATAAAAAGCATTTTTAACATAAAAACATATTTTTATAAAAAAGGCAAAAAGCTTTTTCGTCCAAGAAAGTTTTTTTTAAAATATGTTAATAACATTTCCACTCTGGTACTAAAAACTGCTGATTCATCCTTACACATAATCTCAATAACACAGTGATGTAATGTCTGACATTTTGCTCTATATAAAGCCAATAAACAACTTCAGACTCACTCAGTAGCTGCTGACAGTGGAGGCTCAACTGTTTCAGGTAGGACAGTGTTTGTTCTCTCTCATTCATTGTATGCTTGACTTATACCTGTTGCTGTTCAGATTATAAATATTTGGCTCAGTATGGCACTGAATCCAGTATATCACCTTGGTTTTTAAATGCAGCTTGCGGCTTTAATAATTCCCTTCTTAGGAAGCACGTGTGTTTTAGTGTTACTGCTTATTTCAACCAGGATTAAATCCTAATTTTGCATTTGTATTTGTATTTGTAAACATTGAGCTTTTACTGATCTAATTTCTTACCACTCAGGGGCAAAATTGACAACCTGTATAGGGTTTCTATGTGAGTAAAGCATAGTAGTAACATGCAAAATCTGACAACTGTTAGAAATGAGACGCTTGAAAATATGAGGTCACTGGTTGCAGATTTTCATTAAGAGAACATTTAATGCAACTTCCGGTGACTCTGTAAAATTCTTACTCATGTCCCACTGTCACACAGACCTGCAGGATCACCAGATTAACTCCATGAATTCTTCAACTCCCATTTCCAACGTGTCAAGCAGTGCGAGTTATGGAGACTCTTTCGGCACAGCTGTGGCCAAAAATGTGATTGTTGTGGCTTTTGGTCTCACAATCTACTACATTAATGGTACCCTGATCCACACCTTCAGGAAACACGAGGTCAGATTCCTTTCTCTTGAAATGATCACTATTAAACTAATACCTAAACACTGTCTGAATTACTTTCTGCAGTTATCAGGTCGTGTTTTTGAAGGGTGCAGTATTTAGTTTCAGTGTTTGACAGCAGAGCTGGTGTTCATCTAGGGGTGTCTGAGTGTAGCACTTGTGCAGGATTTCTGGATGAAGTTGTGTTTTTGATCTCACCCTGTTTGATGAATTCGAACAGGAATTAGGGCTTTAAAAGCAGATTCGTCTGAGAGATGGTCATTACTGGAGCGAGGCTATATCTTAGACAACAGCTTCAACAGAAAACCCTGAATGCAACATTGAAGAGCATGTCTGTTTTGAATTTGTGTAATATGTGATTTTCTCTTGTTGTGGCCTGCCCGTCACAAGTGTTTACTTTTTCTTTTCTTATAACCCCACATGGTGCAGAAGCAACCCTCTCTCCTGTTCACTGCACAAGTTTTTCTGATGACCTTGAGCTTCAGAAAGTGTGTGTGTGTGGGTAGGTGTCAGAGTGGAAAGAAAAATACTTGATTTTCTGATTGCATCATAAAAACAGAAGCTCACTTTTCTCATTATTTGAGTTTTGGAGAATTCTTTTTAGCAATATCACACCTTTGCAAAATTGTTGGCTCCTAAACTAATTGGCATCCTTTGAGAAAGACAGTTTGTGTTATGACAGATGTGTGTTTTATGCCATGTAGTTTACAAACACACATATGCAGTTGCTCGTCAACCCGCATTTTCTTTCTTTTTTTCCAGCAGTCTCTCTTCCAATTATGTTTGAAGTTTAGTAGTGATGGTTGGGGTATTTTGTTTGACTTTCTCTCTTTTTATGGTCAAACAGAAGCCAGGCTAGTCTTACATGTATAATGAAAGGAGACTAGCTCATCTGCGATTCAATTTGAAGTAAAAGCAGACAAAGACGGTAGAAAAAAACAAAAACAAAGCCATAGATTCTAACTATCACACATTGAGCTGAAAATCTCTTTAAGTGCTACTGAGATTAAACAGATGGAAATAAATCTGCTTTATAATCAGATGCACAGAGGTCTTTTATCATCAGGCTGTCCGGGCTCAGGCTACTTTGTAAAACTAGATCCAGGCTGCCCAGCCTTACAAGTGGCCTAAGAAACAATTTTATTATCATTATTTATCTCTTCCTTCATTCTTAAAAGAAGAAGTAGAAGAATAAGAATGAATGAATGAATAGATATTAGTCCTCCAGGTATATTAGTCCGACTACAAGAAGATTAATGGGATTTCAGTTGGGCTAAAGCAACAACTTGATTTTTTTATTAACAATATGTAAATGCACTGATTATAATAACAGCAGGAGTGGTGCAAGGATGGGCCCTGGGAAACCCCACATGTCACCTTCACAGTGGATGGATACAAGTGTGTGAAGTGTATCTAGGATAAAACTTAAGTAGATCAAAATCATATATATAGGATGTGAGCTGGTTCAACCTTTTCAACTTTTTTCTTTCTCTGTCTTTCAGATTTTTTATTTCAATCCCCGTTACATCCTCTTCATCCATCTGGTGGTAAATGACATCATCCAGCTCTCTACAACAGTGATCCTGTTTGTCTCCAGTTACGTCTTCTACAGAATTAATGCCTCTCTTTGTTGTATTATCATAACACTCGCCCTCTTTACCACTCTCAACACTCCACTTAATTTAGCAGTCATGTCGGTGGAATGCTACATCTCTGTCTGTTTACCTCTCAGACACCCTCAGCTGTGTACAGTAAAACGAACATATTTTCTGATTGGTGGGATTTGGGTCTTGAGTTCTCTCTCTGCGCTGTCTGATTTGTTTGCTTTTGTAGCAACAGAGCCTGCGCACATATTTTACTCTACGGTTTTTTGTGTGAAGGACCACCTGTTCAGACACCCAGTTCATATGAAAAAGAAGGAGGTTTATACTGTTTTCCTGATCGGTATTTGGCTTGTGCTTCTTTATTCTTATGTTATGATCTTCAGGGCTGCTAAATCAGCTGATGGAGACGCTAAGAAAGCCAGGAATACAGTCCTGCTCCATGCTTTCCAGCTGCTGTTGGCTATGCTAACTTTTGTGGCATATGCAGTCAAAGAAGGTCTGATGAGGTGGTTTCCCAAATATTTCACGACTGTGGTCTTTGTTCCGTATATCATCATCCAGATCCTTCCCAGGCTAATTAGTCCAATCGTGTATGGACTGCGAGACAAGATGTTCAGACAACACTTTGAAAAGTATATACTGTGTACAGTGAGAGTTAAGCCTTTAACATGATCATAAAATCATGAAAAAACCAGCAAAGATTAATCTTAAAGCAGCTGTGAAGTAAATATTTGATCATTTGATCTGCTTATATTAGACAAATGTTTCCCCATTTAGTCTGTGTTGCTTTTTTGTTGCTGTTATGCATTATAGTATCTCTATGCTAAAAATGCATTTAGATAGAAATAAAGGAATTACTAACACATACACACTTGCTATTTAACCTGTGATTATATTAGAATATTGTTGTTCTTTTCATTGACATGGTTTCAGCCTTGACAACTTCAATGCACCAGTTAAATACAGTTGGGTTAGTTTAACGTTCTGCAATTTTTGACAGGCGACCAGATATCTTCAGATAGTCTTAATATAAGAAAACTGGATTAAGTGTAGATCTCTAAACCATCTGGAAAAGCAGGAAAATGGAGGTTTACATTCATATCTAAGTAAACACAAGCCATCCATACTTCTGCAGACGTGCAAAGGAGAATACGGCTAGCTGACATATACAAATATCCGTGGGAATGAATAGATAAATGTATGAATAAATAAATGAATCTAAAACTGAGAAAAAAGTAAACTTATTCAGGGTTCCTGCTCTTTTCCAGGATATTATTATTATTGCATAACATCCATAAGCTTTGTCTTTCTTTTTGTTTAAGTCTGATTTGAAAAATAATGCGCAGCAATAAAACTGTAGGTTGAGAAGTTTCTATGCGCATAAACTTTCTGACTGATCACGTAATTCCTGTAATTCTACAACAGAAGACTAAACTTTTTTTTTGTTTGTTTTTAAAAGCTAATAACACCATGACTGTTACAACGGTTTTGAGGGCTTTGTTCCTAGCAACTTTTGTCACATAGCTGACGACAACACCATGTGAATCCTGAGAGCAGCAGACTCATTTTTCTGGTGCTAACACACTTAAATTCAGTGGTTACTGAAAAATATTTCTGATTGAAAGCAAAGTTCATCATTTAATAAATCTGGTTTAGTTTGTATAAAGCTGAATCGGAACAACAGCAAAGCAGAGATCTGAGAGACTAATGTTAAGTTGTTAGGATGGTGTGAAGGGGGCTCAGTCTACATCAGGTTAATGATGAAGGCCCTGCTCAGGAAGATGGAGAAGTTACTCCAGCAAAAAAAAAATCCAGTAAAAAGCGCTCAGAGGCCGTCACGCTGCACATAATTCCTACATGACGCTCGAGTATGGGTACAGTACCGGGCTGGAAAACTGAGTAAAATCAGGGTCTTTTGTGCTAAACTGGACTACTTGGTGAAAGTGCACCATTTGAAGCTCAAAGATGTGTGGAACTATTTTGAAAAGGCTTAAAAAAATCAAAGTCATCCAACTCCAAAGCTTTTTTTGTACTGGGCTGTAATCATGTACAAATTTACTGTGAATGTTATCATCTTTACAGAGAACCTAGAGGTGATTTCTGCTTTTCCAGCAAGCCTCATGTGGACACTGATGTAACATCAGCCTAATTTTCAACACCAGAGGTTGCTGCATGTATTTTGACATCTTGTTCTCACTTTAAAAATAGACACAAACTGACACATCACTAAACAACCATTTAATTAAAATTTATGATAAATTTTACTAAAGGGCTCACACATTTGAAAGAAACTTTAGTTTGAGATGTTAGTGAACTTTTAACCTTCTCTGAGGGATCTTAATGGACCTCCCACACATGAAACCGTTGAATATTTGGATCCCAGGACGATTGCACCAAACAAATCTGGAGTATATGAACTTGCACTGATATCTGACTCACTGCTTTAATAGTGTCCATATGTGACATTTAACAAGGTAAGTTCATGATTTTTAAAAATTATTCTGCTAGTGAAAAGATGATATCTTGATCAACTGCAGCTCATCCTGCCTTTTTTAAAAGTGTAGAATTTGATGCTTCTGCCACAGAAGAAAATTTCTGAAGTTTGAACCTTGTTTAGTAGATAACGTTTTATACAGAATACAACAAATAACTGTGTAATGGTAAACTGCAATATTTTAGGATGCTGGTATAATGCACACTGGCTTATTGAAACACATTATAGACCTAGTAAAACTTCATTTTTTATCACAAAATTGCCTTCAAAGTAAAAGAAAATAAGGTCATTTGTTTGTAAAATTAGGTTCATTTTTATGACATGAATGTTTGCAGCAGTACTCCTCATGTTTTGTCTCTGAGATCAAAAATGTCCCAGTGAGCCGTTCAAGACCCGAACAAGAGCCTGAATCTGAAGATGCTCAACAAGGCTCATGTTTCACTTCTGATCACTAACAGACTTTTTTTTTCTTATTGCACCAAGCCAAAAGATTTTTTTTTAATTGTATAACTTTATATTATAGTTTTAGTTGGGTAATGAATGGAATTTTAAGGTGATAAAACAGGGAGAATATGCAAGTCTGTAACAGGAAGATGTGTATAATAGATAAGCTAAGTAATTGTTTCACAGTGCCATTGATGAGGGTTTGAAGTTGGTGTCACTTTTTGTCAACAATTACAGGAAAACTGAAGTTTTACAGTTTTTTAAATTATTATCATACTTATTTGCTCAGCTGACTGATGGCTGACTATTTTTTTTGGCAAGGTTTGTACATGTTCCCTTCTCAAAGGCTGTACCGTTATTATCAGTAGAGAAAAAGAGGTGATATTTACAGAGTAGATAAAGTCCTTTTCTGAATCCTAGAGGGGGGTTATATTGTGACTGCAGCTTCAAACATTCAATACAACAATGAAATGACCAAGAAAGGAGAATAAAACTGCTTATAAATACAAACAGAGGAGCTAAAAATCACAGACAGGAGCAGCAGAGTCTAAAGAAGACAGTGTATGTAGTTCTGACAGAAAGACTCATTTCATCATATTCCATAAGCTGTTAAATTCTGGAGATCCTTAAAATCTTTAAATGCTTTGGTTAATGTATGAAGATTAAAATGGTGAAATATGGAGATGATATGTTTCTGCCTCACAGCCATATTATAACGAGATCAATATGATAGTAGGTTTGTGTAATATTATGTAAGTTAGAAAGAGTACAGTGAAAATCAAATCAAATCAAATGGAGCTAAGTTGTCTCTGATTTTTAATAAATCATTCTTGAATTGAATTGTGTCCAACTGGATCAACTTTTGAGGAGAAATTCACACTTACTAGACAGATAAGTCATATAAGAATAACATAAAATAAATAGAGGGTATTTATATGCAGGTGCACCTCAACAAATCAGAATATTGTTATGAAAAGTTATAAAAGTCTGCAGATGGTGATGATGTTAAGGCTGGTTGACTTAAAGTTTTAAAGCAGTTGTATCTGTAGTCGTGTCGGCAGTGATCTAAGATCTATAATCAAAGTTTGATGTTTTCAGCTTCTCTTATGTTGCCAAACACCCTGTTGATCATTAATGCCTTTTTCTGATTCACTTGAACTTACAGTTGTTTCTGCTTACAGCTGACTCATGAATCTCTCAAACACGGGCAGAAATTCCTCAGCAGGCACCCAGAGAGACCCCCTGAGCATAGCTATCATCAAAAACCTGATCACTGTGAGCCTCTGCATCACCATCAACTCTGTCAACGGCATCCTGGTGCACACCTTCAAAAAACATCAGGTCTGAATCTTAAAAGAGTTTTTGTGATCCAAAAACACCAGTGGAGCTTTGGCCTCTTGAGTTACCAATTTATGTTTATCATTATATAATGATTTACATTTCCTCACTTGTCTTTTAACTGTTTCCATTTAGTTCTGTCACTTATAATCTATCAGAAGTAGCTCAAACTTTGGATTAAAAGCAAAGTTTACATTGCAGAGATCAAATGAACTGAACAACATCTGTATTAGGTTTGACTGGTCTGTGTCCCCCTCACTTTTCCCTTCACTGCAATTATCTCTCATTCTTCCCTCAAAGCACCTCCCTCCAGTCATTGCAGTACCCCTTTCTCCTCTTCAGCCCCCACCTCAACACAGACCTTTCCAAGCATCACTGTGGGCCAGGTCAGAGACCAGCTTGGGAAGCTACAACCCTGGAAAGCAGTTGGTCTAACAATGTGTGTCCTAGACTACTAAAGACCTGTGCTGCTAAACTGGATGAACTGCTTCCAGTGAATCTTCAACCTCAGCCTGCAGCTGGGGAGAGTGCCCAGCCTCTGGAAGACATCCTGCATCATTTCATTCCCTTAAAAGAACTGACCCAGAGAGTTGAAGGACTTTTGACCAGTGGCACTGACTTCACACCTGATGGAGCGGCCCGTCCTTCTCAGACCCCAGATACAACACGCCCAGGACGGTCTGTAGTTTGCATACAAAGCAAGTGTTGGTGTGGAGGACGCCATCCTCTACCTGCTATACAGAGCCCACTTACATCTGGATAAGAGGAGTGACACCGTGAGGATCCTCTTTCTAGATTTCTTTTGTGCCTTCAATACTATCCAGCTCCCTCTGCTTGAGAACAAACTGAGCAGGATGCAAGTAGACCCCTGTCTGGTCACCTGGATCTAAAAGACATCATGTCTGATAAGCAGCACCTGAGCACCTCAGGGCGCAGTGCTGGCCCCTCTTCTCTTCACCCTGTACACCACAGACTTCTGCCACAACTCTGAGCTGTGTCACATCCAGAGGTTCACCAATGACACAGCCGTGTATAAAGGCTGACAGAGAAGAAGAGTACAGGGATCTGGCGAGTGGTTTTGCTGTTTGGTGTCACAGGAACCATCTGCAACTCAATACCTTAAAGGCCAGGGAACTGGTCATTGTCTTTGGGACTTTCCCTGTGAGTATGGCTTCCCCTCCTGACACAGTTCCCCCCTTACATGATCCCCTCTCCCACAAAGAGCCTTGTGTTCCCCCCACCAGAGCCATTTTTGGGAGAGATTAGTAATTATAGTGGGTTTCTATTATGTTGCTCATTAGTTTTTGATCAGCAGCCCTTTAGTTATCCATCCAACAGAGCTAAGATTGCTTATGTTTTTAATTTGCTAAGAGGTAAGGCTGTCAAGTAGGCCACAGCTGTTTGGGAGCAGGGTCTCCTGCTTTAGCCTCTTTTTCTATATCTTCCAATGAGTTCCCAAAGTTTTTGATCACCCCTTACAAGGTCAAGAGACAGCTAAACACGTATTTTCCCTAGTCCAAGGGTAGTTGATTTTTGGTTTGTTTTTGTATCCTAGCTTCAGAGAGTGGCTGGGGAAAGAGCGAGCCTTTTAGGGCAAAACTGCTCCTCAGTAAAAATCAGAGGAGGATCAATCTCAAACTCTGCATTTATTGTGAACAAGCCAGGCATTTTCTTGCCACATGCCCAACATTAAATGACCAGGCTCATCAGTCAAGGCGAGCGCACTGGTTGGCCAAACTTCTTTGACCCCTAGCTTTCCTAAATGGATCTTGGTTCCCTCCTGTATCCTATGAAAGACGGATTCCCTCCCCCAAACCCTCATTGATTCGAGAGCAGATGACAAATTCATCCATGAGGAACTGTTAAGACAACTTTAGCTCCCCACAGAAACCCTACCTCGCCCCAAGAGTGTCACAGCCTTAGATGGCAGACACATCCTCGAGTTACTCCTTCCGGTGGTCCCTGGAAGCAGCTTCTGCCTTATTGAAATTAAAATTCCTGTTCAAGACCACTTCTGTTTTTTGACATCCTGACACTTTCCTCCAGTTTGGGGTTGAGGTTGATGTCTCAGACTCAGGAAAAGGAGCTGTACTCTTCCAATGGGACAAAAAATTTGCACCCCTTTGCGTTCTTCCCGTGGTGTCTTTCTCCTGCAGCAAATAACTACAACGTTGAGAATCGAAAGTTGCTGGCTGTGGTGTGGGCTCATCAGAAGTACAGGCACCAGCTCAAGGGTTTCCTACACTGCTTTATCATGTAGACTGATCACAAAAACCTTGCATACCTGCGTTCTGCCCGACATCGAAACCCCTGTCAGGCTCGCTGAGCCCTGTTCCTAAACAGGTTCAACTTTGCTCTGTCTTATTGACTTGGATCGTGGAATGTTAAACCAGATGTCCTCTCTTGCCTCCACTGCCTCTTCTCCTTGGACACCCCGACATGACATGACATTTGTCCCTGATGCCACCTGCTCTCAGGTCCTTGAGTGAGGGCATTCTTCAGAGTTAACCTGTCATCTCAGAACTGATAGGACCCTTCAACTCCTGCATCAGAACCTCTGGTGGCCCAGAATGGCCAAGGACACCCAGGAATTCATCGCAGCCTACTCTGTCTGTGCCGGGGCAAATTTTCCTTGAAGGAAATTTTCTACCATCCAACAGTTGATGTCACTAAGACAGTCCATGACACCAGCTAGGCCTCTTGTCAGTGTGTCGTCTGCGTAGCAGTAAAAGGAGACTTGGTGGAGCCAAATTAATTTGCCAAGGGGCAGCATGTAAATAGCAATTAAAATTGGACATTAAACTGCACCTTGCAGTACACCACGAGCAATAACAGACGTAGAGGAGCTGTGATTGCCCACGGTGACTGCAAAAGTTTGCTATAAAAGATATGACTGAAACCAGCAAAGTGCAGTGAGCCTGATACCTACCCAGTTCTTAAGACGTTCAAATAAAATGGCATGATCAACTGTGTCAAAAGCTGCACTGATATCTAAAAGAACAAAATTGAGCCCTCCTCTCTATCTGCTGCTAAAGAAAGGCCACAGCACATGGAGGACGCCATCTTCAGTGCTGTGGCCTGCTATAAAAAACAGAATGAAATCTATGTCTGACCTTTTTGTCTCTTACTTTTTTCCAGCTCCTCAGTGCTTGCCTCAAACCAGCCAACAGCCCAGCACTCTCTCAAGCATTTAAACCCTCAAAAGCTGTTAGCTGCCTCTGGACCCTTGCACCCTGGATTTCCCCCACCTTGCACTATTTCTCCAAATAAATTCAGTTCCTCTAGGAATTTGCGATCGCAACTATTAACGCAAATTCAAATAATCACAGCAAATTCAGCGAGGCACTGCAATTTCATCCAATCAAGGCAAATTTCCTGCATATTTGACCATTAACCTAGCCCTCTTTTGCCCACGCCTTTATGTGACATGTACGTCATCATATTTATTTCCTTGTTTACATTAAGAAGATGAAGACAAGTGCAATGCTAAACACTCACATTTACCAGCAAATATCACTGCCAAAGTTCCTGCAAGTAAATTTCAAGATGTGTTACTTGAAAGCAGAGGTAAACTCTTCTGCACTGCCAGCAATATTGTGGTGCAACACATGCGAAAGTCGTCACTCGACAGACACTTTTTAACCGCAAAACATGTAAGGACAGCTGAAACGCAAAAGGGACAGAAGAAACAAGTCACATTGACATAGGCTGTTGTATCCAGAACAATAGCAGTGGCTGACAGGATGAAGGTATGCGCGGATATACTCTTTAAAGCAATACAAGTGTAGAATAAAGGAGTAGGAGCGCAAGTGTGTGAAAGAGTAAAAATAAAAAAGCTCACAAATGAAAATAGTAATTCAACTTGGTGCTTATATTTATGTTTTTTTTTTTTAATGTTTTCTCTTAATTGTAAGATAGAATGTAACCCAAGTTCGGCTGCCCTGTGTGCCGGTCTATCTGTGTGGCTGTGAGTCTCTGTGCTCCCCTTTCTGTGTCTCTGTGTGGCAGTCCGTGTTTCAGATATCACTTAGAGATGCAGAGCACTCTGTGTGGAAAATATCACACATTAATCTTATGGTTTAAAGCTAAAAACTCACAAGACTGTTGTAGCTACTTTACAATTGGCCTTGTACCTGTGATTTTAGTAAAAGAAGCCTCAAATTATCCCAACTTTCACTGCAATTTTTTAGAAAAGCTGCTGCAAAATCAGGCATTTTAGGCCGCAACTAAAACAAAAAAAGCCAGCGAAATCCTGGAGGGACTGTAAACTTTTATCACCTTTGGCCTCGTCTAGCTTGCATTTTGGGTACAACTTTTACCATACAACAACCAGCTTACATGATGTCAAACATTAAGATTTTGTGGACCAATATTACATTCTATTTGATCACTTTTATTCTGTTTATGCATGTTGTTCACTGTGATGGATAGAAACATCATTCCCCTAAATTAAAATTATTTTTAAAAGGTTATGGACATGATGAAAATGAAACACAACGGCAAAAATAACAAATTTAGGACTTCATGATTTGTGTGTGTAAGTGTTGGTTTAATGAAAGTTTATCTTCTTTTCCTCTGTTCCACAATGTCCTCTCTCTGCAGGTTCTCAACATGAACCCTCGTTACATCCTGTACATCCATCTGGTGATCAATGACATCATCCTGCTGACCCTCTTCACTCTGCTTCATGTCCTGAGTTACATCTTCTTCTCTCTCCATGTCCCACTGTGCATCATTTTGGTGACCATTGCGATGTTTTCCACCCAGAACAGCCCTTTAACTCTGGCCTGTATGGCATTAGAGACTTACATCGCCATCTGCTTCCCTCTGCACCACTCACAGATCTGCACAGTCAGGAAAACCTGGATTGTGATCAGCTTGATATGGATGTTCAGCATGTTTTCTGTCCTGCCTGATTTATTTGTCACAGTAGCAACTGAGCCCCTGGATTTTTTTCACTCAAGAGTTTTTTGCGTGATTGCTAATGTGTTCAGATACCCGACTCTCACAGAGGAAAGAAACATATCAAACGGTGTGTCATTGGTTGTTGTGTGGCTGACTCTTGTCTACACGTACTTTAGGATCCTGTTTGCTGCTAAAGCTGCTGCTGCGGATGCAAGGAAAGCGAGGAACACTGTCCTCCTCCATGGCTTCCAGCTGCTGCTCTATATGCTCATCTATGTATTTCAGCCTATTATGGAGGGTCTCATGTATTTGTTTCCTAATGGAGTACTGATTATTCGCTTTGTATTATCAATACTGATTCAGGTTCTGTCTCGACTCCTCAGTCCTGTCATTTATGGGCTCAGAGACACAATGTTCAGAAATTGCCTGAAAAGAGATCTGTACAGTATGACAGGTACTATGGCTGAAATACAAAAGTTATAAAAGTAATCACATTTATGACCTGCTTTTCAGTTTTTCATTTTCTGCTTTTAATATTTAAATATTGTTAAATCTGAAAATTCTTTATGTGGTTCATATGTGTACTCCTGTGGGTTCCCTTTCACTAATAAAGTGTCTTTGTTCTTATCTCTTCGTTTCTTTTTTTTTTTTTTCAATTTTAAAACAATTCAAAATAAAATTGTTGCTTGTGTAGTGTTTACAACCCCTGCCCCTAAAGCTGTCACGTCCTCCGGCAGTGAGAAAGATGCCATGAAAAGTTACCATAAAGCAATTAAAGACGAAGCAAGAGTGTCATATTACTCAAAACTCATTTTATCCAATCAGTCCAGCCCCAGAATCTTATTCAAAATCCTAGATTCTGTCACCAACTCTGCCCCTTGTCATCTTATTGATGCCTCACATAAAACATGTCATTTTTAACTTGTTCCAACAACAAGATTGAAGATATAAGGCAACAGATAGCTACCCCTGACTGTGTTTTAAAACCTCCAGTTTTTACCCAGTCTCACTGCAAGTTTTATCAGATATTCATACTTTGAATCCAACTACGTGCATCCTTGACACCATCCCCACTAAATTTCTCAAAGAAGTTTAAGATATTGTTGGGCCCAGTATTTTATCAATCATAAATACCTCACTTTTAACTGGTCATTTTCCCTCTGTTTTTAAACATGCTTTGGTCCAACCTCTTTTAAAGAAACCCAGTCTTAACCCATCAGTTCTTAGTAATTGTACGCCAATTTCTAAACTACCATTCTTATCCAAAGTTTAAGAGAAGCAGTTTCAACACAGATTCTAGATTTCATGAATGAAAACAACATTTTTGTGAAATTTCAGTCAGGTTTTAGAGGTTTGCACAGTACTGAAATGGCCCTCCCTAAGGTCACTAATGACCTCTTTTTAGCTGCTGACAGAAGAGAGTGCTATTTTAATCCTATTAGATTTAAGAGCAGCATTTGACACTGTAGATCATGCCATTTTAATGCATTGCCTTGAGACTTTGGTTGGTGTTAAGGGTACTGCAGTTGGTTTTATTCTTATCTTTTAGACAAAACCTTTGCTGTCATCATTGGTAACCACGCCTCCTCCTCCACCTGTTGTAATACCTGTGGTGTACTGCAGGGTTCTATTTTAGGTCCACTTTTATTCTCTATGTACATGCTTCCACCTGATTAAGTCATTTAGTGCCATAATCTGTCCTTCCACTGCTATGCAGATAACACACAGATATGTGTACGTACCGCTAGGGTTGTCACGATACTAAAATTTCAAATTCGAAATCGATACACAGGAAAACACTCGCCACCATTTTTCGATACCACGGTGGTAAAAAACGACAAATACTTTAAAAGGCATATATATTTATATATATATATACACTCACCGGCCACTTTATTAGGTACACCTGTCCAACTGCTCGTTAACACTTAATTTCTAATCAGCCAATCACATGGCGGCAACTTAGTGCATTTAGGCATGTAGACATGGTCAAGACAATCTCCTGCAGTTCAAACCGAGCATCAGTATGGGGAAGAAAGGTGATTTGAGTGACTTTGAACGTGGCATGGTTGTTGGTGCCAGAAGGGCTGGGGCCTCATGTATCAACGCTTGCGGCGCAAGAAAACCTTGCGTACGCCAAAATCGGCGCACACGTCCAGATTTATCATCGCGAAACGAGCGTCGGTTCCAGCGCTAATCAGCGCAAAGTCAGGAGGTGGTGTAGAAATTGGCGTTGAGCTGATACTTGCGTTGACTGTGATTCGCACTTTGGCGACGCTGTGTGGCGGTGTTTGGTGACTCACTATGTGACAAGCGTGCACAGCATCCCCGTGGCCGAGCAGCACGTCGCCCCACATGACGAACCAGCAGCAGACGGAGGGATGCGAGCTGATCCCTGCCGGGCCGCCGTCCTCGCGCGGGAGAATCTCATCGCCAGTGTGAATGGGTAAGAAGTGAATACACAGTTTAATGAGCCAAATTAATTTATTTTCTCCACCAGACGCTCGAGGACATTTACGAGCCGGTCCAGCCGCTCGTTGATCCCCGCGACCCCCCTGATGATTTCTTCCTGCGATTGCAGGACCCCCTTCGCGAGGACCCTTCCACTGTGTCCGGGTGGTCCAGCGGAAGCGCCGCGGCTGGTGGACGCTCCACCGCTTGTCGGCGCGCTGGTGCTGATGCTGGTGCTGGTGCTGGGGCCGGGGGCCGGGGTGGCCCGAATGCCGCTGGTCCTGGCCGACGACTCCGAGCCGGCGGACGGGCTGCCGCGGGCCGGGGTTCCGCAAGCCGGCGACACGGCCGACGCATTGATTTCTGTGACACAATAGAAATATTTGTTCATTTCAATTCCTGCTTCTGTGTATCTGTTGCGTTTACATCTCTCTCCACGGTATCATAGGTAATGTAATCCAGTATTTCGAGGTCAGTTATGCACATTACAGTTGTTTATTGCATAAAAAGTTATCGAAAAATGAAGTTAAGGGCGAAGTATAAATCACGTCTAAAAATAGACTGAATCCCGACGTTGAAATGAAGTATAAACTTAGACTAGACGTCTAATATACGTCTTTTGCTCAGTGGGATGACAAAGCATGTGGACATTTGTGTGACACGCCACTTACCCTATAATAATAATCGCCACCACCCGCTGCTCAAACGGCGTGAGGGTCTCCTCCCCCAGACCCCCACCTGTCTGGCCAGTACTCCTCCGGAGGGCAGCTGTACGCCGCTTGACCTCCACCTTGAGGTCCGACCACTTTTTTTTAATCTCCGCGGGGGTGCGTGTCTCGGAACCCACCGCATTCACCCTCTCGCAAACTTTCTCCCACTCCAAGCGTTTTTGTTTTGCACTGACGCCACTGGACAGGCTGCCAAACAAAACACGCTGTCGCTCCTCCACCTCCGCCACCAGCACCTCCACCTCGCACGCCGTAAATTTAGTTTTTCTTGTCATTTTGTCTGCATGCGAAGTCAGGGAGACCCTATTTAAATAAATCTGCATATTTATAGGAGGGCGTAACGGGGACGGGCCCAGTCACTCCGACATCTGCGCTCAATTCCACGCTGATTGGGATTTATCAAGGAAACACACGTGGATTTCGGCGCCCGCACACATTGATACATACGGATTTTTTTCAGCGTGACGGACCTTGCGTGCGCTCGTTTCTGGTATGAGTTCCACGCAAGTATTGATACATGAGGCCCCTGGTCTGAGTATTTCAGAAACTGCTGATCTACTGGGATTTTCAAGCACAACCATCTCTAGGGTTTACAGCGAATGGTCCGAAAAAGAAAAAATATCCAGTGAGCGGCAGTTCTGTGGGCGGAAATGCCTTGTTGATGCCAGAGGTCAGAGGAGAATGGCCAGACTGGTTCGAGCTGATAGAAAGGCAACAGTGACTCAAATAACCACCCGTTACAACCAAGGTAGGCAGAAGAGCATCTCTGAATGCACAGTACGTCAAACTTTGAGGCAGATGGGCTACAGCAGCAGAAGACCACGCCGGGTGCCACTCCTTTCAGCTAAGAACAGGAAACTGAGGCTACAATTTGCACAAGCTCATCGAAATTGGACAATAGAAGATTGGAAAAACGTTGCCTGGTCTGATGAGTCTCGATTTCTGCTGCGACATTCGGATGGTAGGGTCAGAATTTGGCGTCAACAACATGAAAGCATGGATCCATCCTGCCTTGTATCAACGGTTCAGGCTGGTGGTGGTGGTGTCATGGTGTGGGGAATATTTTCTTGGCACTCTTTGGGCCCCTTGGTACCAATTGAGCATCGTTGCAACGCCACAGCCTACCTGAGTATTGTTGCTGACCATGTCCATCCCTTTATGACCACAATGTACCCAACTTCCGATGGCTACTTTCAGCAGGATAATGCGCCATGTCATAAAGCTGGAATCATCTCAGACTGGTTTCTTGAACATGACAATGAGTTCACTGTACTCAAATGGCCTCCACAGTCACCAGATCTCAATCCAATAGAGCATCTTTGGGATGTGGTGGAACGGGAGATTCGCATCATGGATGTGCAGCCGACAAATCTGCAGCAACTGTGTGATGCCATCATGTCAATATGGACCAAGCTCTCTGAGGAATGCTTCCAGCACCTTGTTGAATCTATGCCACGAAGAATTGAGGCAGTTCTGAAGGCAAAAGGGGGTCCAACCCGTTACTAGCATGGTGTACCTAATAAAGTGGCCGGTATATATATATATATATATTTTTTTATTTTTTTTTAATTAACATAAAAGATAGAACGGCAGATAAATAATCAATTAAATAAAATTATTAAATACTAAGAAAATGAAAAATCTTCACCCTATTAAAATAATGGCTTAAGTCGTTTTTGGATGAAAATTAAGTTTGGGCCTAAATCATTTCTTGATAATACTGGCCATCTCTTGTTAAAATTGCCTGGATCCTTAGTTGAAAGGCTTAGTTTGCCATGATCCATGGCAATGACTTAGGCAATTATTTTAATAGGGTAACGAAATATAAAAAGATAAAAAATAAGAATCACTTTTTCACTTGGAACCCAGGTTTCTCCACTGCATAAATGGGTAGTTGGTCCTCACAGATATACAGCTCTGTTTATTTTGACAGCTTCAGGAGTCTTTGGGTCATACTTTCTCTGTTTTTCAAATTGCAGTGAAAGAGTGGGATGTGGCTCTTGCAATTTAGTTGCAGGTCGACTTCTCTCTGCTTCAGTCTGCGTCTTTAACCCATTAAGACCTGAACCCTGTCTGAGACGCCCCTCTGAAATCCTGAGGGCAATTTTGTGAAGGGCCCCCAGATCCTGAGGTTTTCTGAAGTGTTGAGATTTACAAAAAAGCTGATATCTCAGCCTCTGTAAGATGAGATGAGATGAGATTCAATTTATTGTCAATGTACAGTACAAGTACAGTACAGCGAAAAGTATTTTCGCCTCTCACCAGAGTGCAAAGTAAACATGTCAGTGCTAGTGATGCATTATT